TTTCGGGCAATGATATTAAAGTACCTATATCTTACAGAAAAGAATGCAACATACACAATCATTGTACATTTCAGAGAAAAATACTTGTTTGATTTATAATATATTGCACTAATCATTATGCAATTTGCGAGATCGCTGATGATATACAAACACATATCACGCAATTTGCAATCCTGTTTCTCTTTCAGCAGATTTGTCATACATATAAACTGTATGCACTCACTTTCGTTTCTTGAGGAAATTCAGCAATGGCAATGAGTTTCGAAATAAAATATGAATTTATTATTTAAGCTTTTCGATTTATTGTATTAGTTTATTTTGTAATCAGAATAAAAACGAGGAACCGCTACAAATTATTAGGGTTGTTGCTATGATTCACGATTGTAATTTGTCACTGCGACTGAACTATTTATTAATAGATTCTGGGTTGTTAATCGTTGAGTTTAAAAAACCTATAGCCCCCAGTCAGTAAGGCGCCTTCAAATACTTCAATACTCGTGCGCTATTCGAGACAATTTGACCCGAAGTCAATGTTTCATCTTTAACCTTTAACTATTAGGGACCGTCTGTGACCTCTGCCCACCACCTAAGGTCACAAAACATACGTTTTTGCAAACATTTATTATTGCTTAGCTGCAGATGAAATTGTTTATTATCAATTTATGCAGCAAGAACAAATGTAGTTGAGTTTTATTCGGTATTTCTATGTATGTACTGATGCAATAAATATTAGCGATCAGTCAGATCCGCTATAGCAGTTGTGCAAATTTCAATGTTTTAATAGGTTAACGGTTAATGATATTCTTTATTAGAGAAATTTGTAAATTAATTTGCCATAAATAGCTTAAATATAATTATAATCTAATTTAATCTTGAAGAGTGCATCAAGGTTGAAGCATATACTTCCATATTCCGTTAAACACGAATTACTATACACACAACTCAATAAAATAATACTACAATATATAAATATTACTTTTATTTTCTAGACAATAGTGCGTGCAGAATAAACAATACGATAAACTTTAAATAATCAAACGTTCAAATAGACGTGAGAACAAGCGAATGCCCAGTACAACGTTTTTCGAATAATCTTCTTGGAGTATCCCAGTATCACAAAATTATAAGTTCCTCTATTAAAATGTTTATAAAAATGTATACCATCTGGTTAAAATAATACAACAATATAAAAATATTTCTTTTTACTTCCTGAACAATAATAGTAAATGTAGAATCAATAGTACGATAATCCTTAATCAAACGTCCAAACAGACGTCAGAACAGCTGAACGTCTAGTAAAACGTCTTTCGAACAATCGTAGTTGCAAAGTATTCCAGTATCGCGGAAAATTACCGGGGCCCTGCCCTTCATTTATTTCCCTGTCTCCTCGGCGCGTTCCGATCCGCCTTCTTTTTGCGTACGCAACGCTTTTTCTTCCCTCCGGTCGGCCCACGAGTTGAAGGGTTGCGTGCCCGAAAAAAGGAACGGGGGGGGGGGGGGGGGGGGGGAGCAAGATGGCGGCGCACGGTAAATCGATGGAGGCTAGTCACTGCAGGCGCCCTCGCTTTCACAATCCCCAAACTCATCCCCCTGTGCCGCCGCCGCCGCCACCACCCTCCCCCCCGCCTCTGCGACTCCCTCATTTTCGAGCTTCACGCAAGCGCCCGCACCCTGGCCTGGCACGTCTTCGCCCGGTCTAAGAATGATTTTGAATCGATGACCCACACTCGCCACAGAAAACCCACCGATACCCGACTTTTTTCGTCGACTTTTATCCAAGAAAGAAATGAAAAATAAAAAAGAAACGTTACCTTTCTTTTACGCGAGCAACCCTCTCCACTCGATGACAAGTTAAACGATCCGAAATAGGATTATCTTCGACCGGAAGGCTGCCAGGCAATATCGATTCCGCGAAATCGTGTTTGGAAGGCACTGTTTGCGACACGATTTTCACGTTTTTCCGGGCGACGCGTGCTCGCGGCTGCGACCCGTCGTCGTTTTGGAATGGTGAGAGCGGAGAAATGAGAGATGAAGTTGTGTTTTCAGCTGCTGGATAAGTGTAAACGAAACAAGCACATTATTCGCGGGGAGGAGGATCATTAATAGCCGATCTGAGGTGATCGGATGAAGTGTTGTGGCCACGAATAAGTATAACCGAGTCGATTTTAGGGAAGAACGTGGAATTATTTAACTCTCGTGCAACGTTCAATAAATTTTTGCATTACCAGGGCTTGACAAATCGCGGCGAATCGTAGAAGAATCGTAATAAATTTTAAGTATAACATAGATAAATACCTTACCCCACCCATATATGGTCGAAATATTGTAAATTAAATTGCTCGTATGGATTTCCTTAAACGCCATTTTTGTAAGTATTAATAATCTTAACGAAATCCATACTCTTCGTTAATTAATACAGGAAATTCTGAACAACTTGATCTTCAAAGAATTATTACGGTCAAGTTGTTACAATCTTGTCCGGTGTTATACATAAATTTACTGTTGCCAAATTAATTCACAAGTTTCCCTGATAAAGGATATAATTAAAAATTAAAGCGTGAATTTGGGTCGAATTGACCAGAACAGTGCACGAGGATTAAGTAGGTTAGGGGTAGGTATCGATGTATATTTACGATGATCTGGACATCGGTCAACGGGGATTTCGCACATATAACTTCGATACCTATAAATGTTTTCTTTTTTCGGTAAAAAAGAAAACGTGTTGGGAAACAGGCGAAAGGGAAAAAGAAACAATCAGTGTGCAAGTAATGAGGAGCAACAGGAAAAATAAAAACTTTCAAAGGAGTCGGTGAAACTGGTTTTTATTCCCCCGTAACCAGTGCTAACCTGTTTGATTCTGTCTGAGAAACGAACGCTTGCCGAGGGTGAGAACTTGCGACGGCCACGGAAAAAAGAATACGCGGGCATGGGAGTTAGCCGGGCACAACAGGTTTCCGTCTCTTAAACCTTTAACTCCGAGATTTTTCCTTTCGGTCGTTTATTTCACACCCTGAAGGGGATTACACGTACCCGCCGTGTAACCGAGTTAAAATAATTGAATTAAAGTCTGCTTATCATATAAAAACGCTTTAAACAAACTACCGTTTATCCGGCAATATGGCGGCCGTGAGAAATCGCAATTGAAGTTCTGTTTTACATGATTCGCAATTGGAGGAAATAATGTTAAATGGTAATCTTTCGATGTTTAATAAAAACAGCGGTGGAGCAATGTTATGCTGTTTAATGACAGGACTGTCCTCGAATTGCGAACCATTTTAATTTGTATTAAACTTTAGTTTCTTTGTTTGTAAATTGTCCTGTGTTTTTCGATTCTTCTTTCTTCTTCAAACGCCAAGAAATTGTATTTATAGTTGTATAAACTAACTTTGAATTTTAATATTAATAAAATGTGATTTTAAAGGTTTTCGGAAAAGCAAACAAATATTTTTAAGAATTATTATTCTACATTTGAATTTTGTTCATTGGAACTTTCGATGGCAATACAATTATATGATATATATATATATATATATATATATATATATCACCTCCACTTTAGCATTAGTAAATGATCAATAACTTACTAATAGTTAATATTCATCTTCATATACATAATGGCATATGTGCATATACATACATATGTTAAAAGTGAATGTCACGCTATGCTCAATCTGCTGGTCAATTTTTGTTTTGCACAACTTTTTACTGTGAATTAACTTTTCATACGATGCAGTCTGGAAGAAACGTTTTTATAAGTTCTACTGACTAAATTAATGATAATTAAAATAATAAAATATTAAATTGGATGATAATTATTTAATTCTTACAATAAGAAATAAATTCTTATTACATTTCATTTATGAAGCATTTTATTGGATTATCATTGGTTACAATAGGTTTGAATTTTCTTGTTTGTATTTACTATGTGATTATTTTGTCAATTATAAACGTAAACAGATAAGAGATACCAAGCTACTACTTCTTTTATTAAAGATGTTACGTAATCTTGTGCTTCAGTTATTTTCCGTTTCCATTAATCCCTATAATATTTATTAATCTACAACGCGTTTGTTATGTTTATCGAAATATCTCTTGTGAAACATCCATATTGTGCAGGAACAGATTGAAGCACATGGACATCAACGTCAAATAATGATTGCATTAAATTTTTCCGTAGTAAGATTGATGGTAGTTTCATGATTTTAAGAGAAAAAAATTCAGGTGACAAAATATTCATACAACTCTTCATAGACTATGTATTTCCCCAAAAATCTTAATATGTATGATTATTGTTAAATATTTTTGTTTCCTAAGGCTATACACTTGTATGTAAATCGCGTAAATGAAGAAAATTTGCTTGCTAATAATGTTTATAGCAGAAATAATTAACAAAATGTAAACATTTTAACAACATGGTGTTGTGCAAATATAAACGAAAATATAAACTGCCTTCTTTAACATCTTAATATTGTTATCCATGCGTATAGATTCAGAAAATGTTATGTTTTATAATATTATATACAATGCATAATGAGATATGCATAAAAGAAAATAGAATAATCAACCACAAATCGATTTATTAAATATTTAACAGAGTTCAATGCAGGTAATTTATTATCTTTATGAGCAATATAGCACCATCAGGGATTCTGTTATTTCATATTCTTTTACTACGTTTATCATCTATTGTACACTACGCAACTTCATTATTGCAGTCACGCCACTATCGACCATTGTTAAACTAGGAACTAAATTTACGCAAGGCAATCGGCATCTTTTCATTGCAAAAGCTTTACCTTTAAAGATTATTATTAAGTATTTGATGAATCAATCGGCTGCATCACTATTCTAACATCTTCCTTTTTAATACTTTGTTCTATCTTCTAGTAACTTAAAAAGTGAAAAGAGAAATTTTATCTTATCGCTGCAGCTGATAACTGATCCCCATCGATGTCTTTATAAACGATCCATAAATCGCGACAAGCTAATTCGATGCAATCATGAAGGCATTCGTCTTGGTCAGTTTCCTGCTTGCCTGCAGTGCCAACGGTAAAGATACTAATTCTGAGTTTTAACTGAAATCAAAATATGTCACGTTGCCACTTTTTATCAATCATCTGTTTAATTATTGTCTTGTTCATTCACGTATCACATTATTATATATGCATATTTCCTTTAATATTAACTGTTTCGAAATCGTCGGAAAAAATTGTAAAAGTATTTCTTTAATTGTTATACTTACTAGTGCAAGATACTTGAAACGAATCACATTATCGAAAGAGTTAAACAAAATATAACATTCAACGTTCTACAAGTTATACATCTCCATTGTGTTACTCTTAAAATTTTGTATTTCTTTGTTCATACATGTACAAGGTGGACTAATAGAAATTATCGCCTCCAAGGTGTTCAGAAATTTGCAAGTAAAATTTACGGAATAATAATAGTCTTGGAAGGAAATCGATACAACCATGTAATAGTATCTTATATATCATGTAACATTTATTTCGAAAAATTATTCTGATACTTCCATAGTTTTAAAGTTAATCATGGATGCAACTTTTAATGGTCTACCTCGTGAAATGCAGAAAACTATTGTGAAACTGTTGTATCGTGTATATGGACTATATTTTTGTGAAAATATATTAGTAAATACATTACAGGTTTCTACGTCTTCGATTTGACCGATGACGAGACACGTGATATATACGCTGCACAGGATTTGAATAATCGGGTATTCTTTCATCTGTACACCAAACAGACTGGACACAATCCGCAACAATTGTTCCTGAACGACGTTAACAGATTAAAGAACAGTCACTTCAATCCAAACAGACCAACGAAAATCATTACACACGGGTGGCAAAACTCTGATAGAAGCGAATCTGTTGTCCTGGTTCGCGATGGTATGTATTATTTAAAAAAGTACAAGTCTCGTTCAAAACTTCACTTTCACATATCGTCTTAGCAAAGGAATGCCATGAATTTGTGTTGTTTAAATTAATTTAAAAATTTAGAGAGGTTATAACTCTTTAAATAAAACCGTGCCTTTCATTATTAAATATTTATGAACTACTTCTACAATACTACGTCAGTCACCTTCTAGAAATTTATGTAACTTCGGAAGATTTTGTATAATCGATTTTTAACTGAAAATACGAAAGTGCATGTTTCGAAAGAACTTCTGATGCTTCTTTAAGAATACGTGTATAACACAGCAAAAATAAAAAAGATCAGTTTTTTTATACTAATTCCTGCAACTTAACAGAATCTCAAAGTATTCATATAAAGTCAAAAAATTTACATCCTTTTTAATACGGTGCATGACGTACTAGTATTACAAGTATTCAGATTTTTCATAACACTTTTTAATCCATCGAGTCAATATATTTCGGAGTAAATTTATAACGGACTTTTGAACCCTATTTGACATATTGTACAAACGTAGTGGATATTTTTTAATATTCCGTCATCCGATGATTTCTCGCTTGTTCATACTCTTCCTTTTGATCTTTTGCAGCTTTCCTTCAACATGGTGACTACAATATCATCACCATTGACTGGAGCGCAATATCAGGACTAGAATATATTCATGCCAGTAGGGACGTTTTGATGGTCAGCAAGTATGTCGCTACCATGATTGATTTTCTTCACTCACAAGGAATGAATTTAAATCAAGTAACCATTGCCGGCCACTCTCTTGGAGGTCACGTTGCTGGATTGGCAGCCCGTTACGCGAAAGGCACAGTGAACCACGTTGTCGGTGAGTCCATCACTAATTCCGATGATGAATCAGAAGTTTTTCATTTTCGTTTCTGCAACTACAGTTATTATTTAAGATACATCGACATCATCAGTCCCGTCCATTTACTAGTTATAATACTGTATCTAGAAGAAATAGAGTGTCGAGAGTAAGAGAATTGAAAAAAAAGTTTAGATTCGGAAAATTATAGATTCCCGTGAACTTGGTGAAATTTCGACTTAACGAATCTGGGTAGAAACTATTGTATTCATTTTTGTTGTATCGACCAGTTCACCTGTCGCCATGAAATACGGTGTCATTGAATATATGACGAGCCTAAGGCTAAAGGCAGTCTTCGCCGTAGCCGAGGCTAGGTAGGTAACGATGCTTATTTGATCACTGAGAGCCGCTGGAACCACGGAAAGTCGTGGAGAAACCGATGTTTAATTCATCACCGTGAGCCACTTCAGGAGGCGGACGTACGGATGCTTATTTCATCACCGGGAGCCACTCTAGATCGAAAGAATAGGTTGGTTTTGTACACCTCGAACGGTAAAAGTTTTAGGTTTTACTTGAGCTGAGAATTCGGATATGATTAAAGGCTTCGAAATAAATTTGATTCTGAGTTCACAGAATAAGTAATAAAAATATATTCCAATCGGTTGTAGAACTTTACAATTGTTAAAGTGTTTAGTGTCGCGGAAACTAATGCCCTCCCTGATATTCATGCACCAAGATGAGAGTGCGGGGTCACGTTAGAATAATGCCTAATAGTAAATTTACGTATTGTATGGTTTTGAATTGTTCCAAGGGGATTAAACCGATCTTACTAATACGTCTCCCGACTATGAAAGTCAGACTTGAAATGTTACCGCAGATGAATCCGTGGCCCTTTATATACCCACAAATCGGTCTAAAAGTCACGTATGGATCCTCTAATCGGAACTGTAATTCCTGGAAAATTTGGGTCATTCCACCAGCACGGAAATGACAATCCTATCTAAGCCTGTGCATTCTAGTTTCCAAGAAAGGGTCAAGGGTTAAAAAGAAAGCATTCATTGTTGGTGGCGTACGTAGCAAGTAATAATAATTGTAGTAACTGAACAACATTATAATAGTGAACATTCGACTGATTAAGCAAATGTGATAGAATAGTCTCTCTGTGATAGAAGTCAAAGCTCTTTCTTAATGTTTTTCGTAAATTCTTGCGTAGAATACATCGCATTTTCTTAGAGTGTACTTTCTACTGGGATGGCTATTACCAAGCAAAATCTGTATACATTTAAATGCAACATACGCATTCTTGATGATAACAAAAAAATCTAACATCAGAAAATCAAACTTTCGATACATGATCCACAAAGTGCTTGACCACTCTAGGGTAAACGCACTAATGAATTGGCACTTAAGAGATTATGTATTTATTAAAGTCGAATTTTAAACGACAATATTAATAAACATTTGGTACATGAAAATTAAATTTTTTAAATATCTACATATACCTTTTTATATAGATTACAATTTGAAAAATTTGAAGAATGTAATTAATGAAATTAAAAAGAATAAATACAGATTTCACCAGTGAATGAACATTTCTAATCAATGATGTCAAGATTGTTTGAATATGAAACAAGGAATTGAAAAAAGTCAATATTTACATATATTTCGAGTATATAAGTAACGATAGAATCTATCGTCTCATACCATCAAGTAGATTCATAAATGACTAATCAACCAATATGACATACTATTCCGACCGAACCGGCGACCTCTAATTCCGAAAAGTCAGCTGGATCAAATTTACCATCGTAAAAAATTATTCATTTTCAACCGTCTGAAAAACATCCATCTAATAAAATTTTCAAGACTAAAGTCAATCTCTTTACAGCTTTAACGAATTCGGGCGGTCTTGGCTACAGCTCCGCGATCGGGGACATCGACTTCTATCCGAATGGCGGCGTCCATCAGCCTGGTTGCGTAGTGAATGTCATTGGGGTCTGCTCGCACTTAAAGGCGTACAAGTTCTACGCGGAATCTATCAACAGCAGGACGGGCTTCTGGGCCCTGAAATGCAAAAGCTACGACGACTTCAACAGAGGTGGCTGTAGATTGAATGAAAGGGCTCTTATGGGTGGCGTTGTGCCAAACTACAACGCCAGGGGTAGCTATTTCTTGAAAACGAACGACAAGTCACTGTACGAAAAGGGAGGGCTTTAAGCTGATTCGTCATCAGAAATCATCCAATGTATTGTACTAGTAATATGTACCGTGTTTTTGTAAATAGATATGGAGTGAAATTGAGAGAGTTGTCGTAGGTTCGACATTTGTATTCATAGAAGAGAACTGGAATTCAGTTTATTTGGACTGTAATGCTATTTTTTCAAGGGTAGCATTTTAAAGTCGATATGTATCACAGCGATTGGATCTTACCTCCAATAAATTGGCGTTACGGGTAGAAAGCAGCGTTATCGTCCAATAAATAATGACGATGTTATTTTGCGTTGATCTCATAGTCCGTAATAAGAATTTACTTAATTATGTAATTAATTCTGAATGTAATAATTCATGGACGATGAAATATAAATGTTGAACTAGATGAACTACTTGCAACTAATTTATAAATACTGTACATGTTGTTTGCTTTATTTCATCAGGCATGCATTTAAAACAGGAATGCTTCTAGGACTGGTTTTAATGAACTGAGATTTAATATAATCAGCATATATTACTGGAACTACAGTATTAGTATTTAGGAATTATAGGATTAGTACTCACAATCAGTTAATTCCATACTCCTAGACTGAAATAAGCTGAATATGTATTGTAATTTATTACTCCTATTTTATTGTTGTTACGCATTATAGTGTCGACACACAACCTTATTTCTATTGACAATTGATTTGGTGGAACTGGTTACATTATTGATAACTGTAGGTGATGAAGAAATTAGCATATTTAGGTACGTGGTATACGGATCAGAAACATAAATTTTGTAAATATAGTTACAATAATAATTATTTATGTATTTATATTATAGGCCTTTATTTACTGAAATCGTATAGTGTGGAAGTGAAAAGAGAAAGTTGGATTAATTGAAATCGTCGAAGATATTTTTCAATTTTTCTGGAATATCTTATTTTTTTATATTCCTTATTTTTTATATTTATTCCGTTTTCATATCACATGAATGATCCGCTTATGATACTCCGTATGTCTCACCAATAATATAATAAATAACAAATAAATGTGATGTTCCTCTCATAGAGTAGATTAAACGTATGCATGTGGATATACTAAGCACTGAATCATTTCATTGGACACAAATATACATACATATGTGGTAATTCTACCTGCTAAACCTCAATGATATACTCGGGAACTAGTAATTAAATAATATGAAATGTATACAAATACTGATAATAACAGTAACTTATGATTAATTTGCCTAAAGAAATATTAAATAAGGTATGAAATAAACAGTATTTTAAAATTGTTTAGAATAATTAAACTTAAGAAATTAAGAAAAATATTATTAAATGAACATAAAATATATTTCATTATACATCATTAAAACGGGAATATTTTTTAACGTTTCTCAGTGCAAATTTCATGTGGATACCTTTTATGGAGCAAAAGTTGTATACAAATAGGCCGGTAATGTTCAATCCGGACCACTGTGCGGCGCCTTCCGTACGCTACGTAGTATGAATCCTTCTATTTTTCTACATTTTTTTATTTGAAAAGCGTTTTTTCTTCATCCTAAATATCTACCCTTAAAAATAGAAAATTATTAATTACAATATAAACAAAAAACTTACTGCTGCCTTTTAAAATTACCAAAACAAAGAATTGCGTATTCACGGTACGTGTCCTGCAGGGTTAAATATCAATTGTACGAGAGACCAAATGTTTATACTTGTTCCCGGCAAATATTTACTTGTAATGACCATCTTTGCAAAAACCTCTGTACGTACATATATTGTAAGTTCAGATAAAATTATACTCCATAGATCATCCTACATTCCTCATAACATTTAACTATATAATGGCTCTTTCTATATTAGAAAAAACTTATGTGCTACATGTCTCCATCTTGTATTCATTTTCTCTTATGCAGGGTGTTAATAAAAGTATGGGACACTTTCAGAAGGTGGATGCTACACTTAACACTACGACGAAAATCACCATTGACGAAATTGCGTTCGAAAACTTCCGAGTTACGTGTTGAAAAAAGGGGTGAAATACGCGTAAAATACGTCTGACACGGGGAAGGGGTATTCTACTCGAGAAACTATTCAGAATTTATTCACTATTTGCAAAGTACTTAATTTATTATTTTAGTCTATTAATACCTTATTATTTGTTTATTATTACATACAGTATAAATAAATAATTAGAACAATAAATGTATTTATGATAATTCGAAATTTACGAATATTCTTTAATATCTTATGTCAATGATACTGCTTGAACAAAAATAATCAAGAAGCCTGTACCTGTAAGATATTGAATATTAATATAACCTATATAAACATCAAAACTCCAGGACCGTTCAAGACTCGAATCCGTTCGAGACTTCGAATCCGTTCAAGATTTTCAAGACTTTCCTAGCTTCTAATCAGATTCGAAACGATTCGAATTTGCCACTCGAATTCAAGACAATTTCGAAGCGATTTGAAGCATTTTAAATCCCATCACTGCCGGGTAAACCATCTACTTCATCTTGGGTGATTCTGTAATTGATTGCGACAGAGTCGAATTAAATTAACATCAGACAGCCTCCCACCTTCTGTGAGAGGCTGCGAGTTCGCGGGCGCGACCGCTAGTAGCGGACGGGCGTAATTTCTGGGGGTTCAAACAATAACAAATCCAATAACAATTTCGTTCGAAAGCTCGGTCCTCGTCGCGATACAAACTAGATAACATGCGATTCGATCATGGCGCCTCCGCTCGATGGTACTTGCGAACCTCGACCCTTGTGCGTGCTAGCCGTCAACCGCAACTCTCTCGTAGCCTCCACTCTAAGTAAATCTTGGAGGTATCGGAAGTCCTACCCGATACCAGCACTCGGGGAATACCAGGTGTTCAACTGGCGCAGGCGCGAATTGTCGCGGCGGCCAAGAGAGGGGCTTTATTTGCGACGGACCACGGCCACACGGCTGACCGGGGCCCGAGAACTAAATTCCCCGTAACATTACATAAAAACAACAAATACATGTACTTGTATGTATCTGGCATTTAAAAATTAATATTGAAAATGAAAGTGCAATTTGAGCGTCAGAAACGCGTCTATGTAAGTAGGAAGTGATAACGAAAGCATACTAAAGAATGAGCCGTAATTTTATTATTCAACATTAATTACGACATTAATAACTTGCAAACGAAGTATCGGAAGCAATTCCGTCATTCTCGATTTTCATCCGAGTTTGGCGTGCATAATTTACCCTGTGAAAGTGTTTCACATTTTTATTACCACCTTGTATATTGATGTACGATTTTGCGCAACCAAACTATTGCGCGATTCCTTTCGCCTGGAATAAAGGCCTCGAAAATAAAGTAATGCTAATTTGTCGGATCAGCATTCTGTGGTCGTTGCTTTCGGACCTTGACCTGCCACAGTACATAAAGCGTGACGTTTCCACATATCATCGGTTCATTGTGTTCACTGTGTTATTGGGCTCATTTTGTATCGTCATCTGCGGGAGCCGTCGAATGGTTCAAACGGTACTGGACCGAAAAACGGTACCAAGACTAGACGCCTAGCAGTCGTTCGTCATTATGGTATCGTATCTAGTGTGATTATTGAAAAAAAAGTGAACTTCAGGATCTATGCCTTAGGGAAACTGGAACGGTAATCGGTATAGCAAAAAGGATGTGTAGCGCTGGACATCCAACGATTCACGACAATCCAATCATTTCATTTATTTCATTGTGTTAGTGCTTCCGGCTGCGTGGTGTATGACACAGCCTGAAAGTACTGTTATTTATGAGAAAAATTCTGCAGTTTACAGTTATTACGTACCTCCATAAACTCTGAAAAGGTCTTGACGAGAGAAAGTCTAATTTTGTATTGTTTAGCAAGCTCTATCATCCGACGGCTTTATTTTTTTTTTGTAAGTGCATCGGTACACCTGCAAACAGCAAGTGTACTTTTTTTTTTAATAGAATACTACGATTTTTTTGCATAAATAGATTCGTCGAGTTATTGTGCGTATAAAATGTAAGGTAAGATCATTGAAAATACAAATATTTTCCTAGATATTCCATTTTTTTCGAAAATTTAGAGCAAGGACTCATACCTTTCTTTACATTTTGCATTACACTGTTCACTTGCTCAGTATTCATATTTAAACAATTACTTTTAATTCTTTCTGTTAAATGATTTATCGAAACAACAAGTTTTGAATACACCTTATGACCAGAACACGAGAGGTGAAGTAAACTGTCTGTGTGTGTCTGTGTGTGTCTATGTAAGTGCATGCGTAAGTACGATGTTAGTAAATACGATAGTGGCGTAGTAAAATATCTTATAAAGTATTGTGTTTTTAATCACTTTACCTTACGTTTTATACGCATTATAAAACGAGGAATCAATTTATGAAAAAAAAATCGTAGCGTTTTATTTAAAAAAAAAGTGCAATCGCAGTTTACAAGTGCACAGATGCACTTGTCAAAAAAATAATTCACTCGAATGATAGAGTTTGTTAAACAATACAAAATTTTCCTTTAAGATTTTTTCTAACTTCATTTGAAACGGAGCTATAACCTGACCCAATTACTGGAATCACCCTGTATATTGGGTTGTTCGGAAAGTTCGTAGCGTTTCGAGCACGGTGCCGTCGTTACGTTTATACTGGACGAAGGAAAAATCTGTTGATTCGATTTTTTTCGATTGAATGGATTTGCTATACAAATTACTCCTCACTTTTTTGTTTTCTGTGGAACATACTAACGAAGAGTATGAACTAGCGCAAAATAAACATTTTCATTACGCTCCGTCAAATTTGTAAAAAAGTACCTACATTACTTCAACTGGAACATATACCGACTTCCCTCTGTTTTATCGATGCTCGGTGGTAACATGGCCAAAGTGACTGACAAATACCATAAGCGCCGCTAGTGGAGAATCCTTGAACTATACCAGTGTATATTCCTGAGCCTGGACGCGTCAAATCGTAGAATCCAACTTACGCCTTCCACAAGTGATAAATTAACAAAAATCGGTTTTCTACGATAGTGTGACAGTGGTGTACAGGGTGGTCTGGTCAGCATTTGACGAGAAAACAACTAAATCGTGTGATATTTGACAAAATGTGACTTGAGCAGCCATCTTGTGTGCTTCATCGGCGTCTGTCACAATCGCACAATTTCTAAAATTCTAATTCTTTCAATTAAAATGTGTTTATTGGTGTTTATACGGACCAGACCACCCTGTAGGGAAGTCTACCCGTGAGTTCTATACCAGTGAAAAGTGCATTTGTGCAATTGTCGAGGCAGAAGTTGGATTCTACGAAATCGAATGTCTCTCTCGTGTATCGCGTATACATACATGGTTCCCGTTGATTGTGTGAGTGCACGGACACAGCACACGGGCCACGGAGTCTCCCCCCTTAATTCGACTTTGTCTCGCCACGTGATTATTCTTCTAGGTCGCTAGTATATTCTATGTTAGGAAACAACTTCAAGTACTAAATCCATCTAAATAAAAGCACGTTGAAGGGCTTCTTTTAACTAAAACAATCGAAGATGTATGCATATAACTGGTATAGTGAAATTAATTGAAAAGTAGGATAAAAATTGCAAAAAGAGGTAGTATTGTAGTAAATAATAATAATATGTAAATTCTAAAAAATATAGATTGTAATACCGCCATTAAATATAATTAAATCTGCATGATTGATATATACAGTTTTTGTTACTGTTCCGTCGTATAATTATATTTCGGACAGTGAAATTCCGTCCTATAATACGGAATTTGTCGTCCCGCAAACTTTATATGTATATGTTTTTGTTGGAATAAGTGACCGGACCACGTGTCAAGAACCTAAAAAGAAAACATTTCGGAGGTCGGTAGCTCGAGTCACTTGTAGATATCCTGTATGCGTACATGTGTAAGCGGATTCTTTTCGATCGACAGCTGACCGATAGATTGTGAAAGAACCTAAGGCCACTAGCCCCAAGTAAAAAATTCAAACCAGCGATCTATTGTCAGCCTACGTCTTACAGTTAATGTGAAAGAGACAGAGAGTGTTGACGACACCTATATATAGAGTTATTGGCACGACACTCAACACACAATACCGAATCAGTCAATTGTGACCATATCTTGATTAAATAAAATTCTCATAGTACCTTTACTAAGTCTTCAATTATTTGAGATAAAATTATTTAAGATTATTAGAAGCGACGCAACAGTTACTGTATCAAAAATACCTGTAAAACCGGTCAATCACTTGGCTCTAAGTATATATCAGACAAAGATAACTGTTGTCGACAGCATTACGTATCGTTAACGACCTGTTCGAAAAGAGAGAATAAAATGTCCCTCTCACTTTAACCTTTTCAGGTGAACAGTGGATGCAGATTGATAATGAACGTACCTTAAAAACTAATACGAGGCGAAACACTATCCGACTACGGGACGTTCCAAACAGGAATGCACCTGATACAGTTTCGAAAAATCCTGGTTTCGGCTTCAAAGTAGTTTGGTAACCTGTGCGTCGCGTGAAAAGCCAAATATATTCAGGTAAAGACACAGCTCGGAATGTTCGTAAAATACAACATTCCATTTTTTCACTTCTCTACTTATACGGAAAAGTCGAGTTATTATTCCTACAGTTAATCATTTATAATTAATGGTCGTTTGAATTTCATATTTTACAGAAAATGCATGTTAATAAAGTACAGAAATTGTGTTTTTTTTTCTCTGTTCTCAATAGAAGTGTCAGGGAACTTTTTCTTTTTCCTACTACATATTTGGTTCGTTAGGGTGAAAACAAAAAATTTTAATTTCTTTCATTTTTATTATTTAATTATTATTATTCATTTTAATTATTTTTTATAAGTTAATATGTCTTTTCCTATTTTCCTATATATGTATCTTAGAAAGTACAGTCGATACTGGAGGCATTCCACGCGAAATCGGACTATTTTTGGAGTAACGTTTCGAATTTTGTTGACACTTGGATATGTTGTAGTCTTTAGTTATATATAAACGTATCGCGAAAGATTTTTGGAAATTTTAAAAATTGTTGATTCTAAAGCTGTTCGAAATATAGTGTCAACCTTTTTTCAATAAATCATAACTGTTGAACTAACAAACCGATCGAAATAGGCTTCGTGGATGCTTACAGTGGAGACATAAGAGTATCTAATAAAAATTATTTCAGTTAAGAAAAAATATTGTTTAAGCTTTTATTTTGCCATTGTTTTACAGAAATGCAATTTTATAATAGCGAGGCACTATTGAAAAAGTTGAGGATATCGTCTTATATGTCCTTTTTATGAACAAATTTTCAAAAATATGAGCACTTTAAAATTTGCCATATGAAAATCAATTGGAGTTAACACTGCGTTGAATTTCACAGACTCGATCGCCCAAGCCGCGCGTACTAGGCTAGCCAATACAGCTCGGCCGGTCGTGCTTATGTGCTTCATCGCTTCGTCGCCGTTTAAATTTTAATTTGAAAAAAATTCAAGCTATAATCATTCTGTACATTTACATAAATATTTATGGACTATGTCTCAGAAACCATAATTAGAGTATTCTTTCAACAGTTACGAAACCAGTTATATTAAAGGCGTAATGATTATATTCAGAGACTAGGTTATATCCTATTCATTGTAGGGTTTTATTCAACTTGTATATTCTATGTATGAATAAAACCTGTTATCTAGTAATGTTTAAAAAAGTAGTTGTTCACAGAATATAAAAGTAATACCAATACTATATTAAAAATGTTAACATTGACATTACAAGATAAAAATTGTCATTTACAACATATTAATATTGATATTAGTGTCTCAAGATTGAAAAATAATGTAAATTTTACAGTAGAGTCTACCATATAGGTAAGTTCTGTCCAGGAGGGGCATAGAGTACATTTTAACGAGGGCAACAAAATAGAAAAATGAAAGAAACCTTATTTTATTAAGTATTCCACTGAGTCCAAACCTGGTAGGAAGTATATTTTCCTATTTCATGGTCATTTGTTATGTTTGTCTTCTACTGTACACGTGCATCTTTGTTGCAGTCACACCACTATCTGACATTGCTGACATTTGAACTAAAAACATAAAATGCATCATGCAACTTTCATTGTAGACACGTTACTTTTGAAAGTTGTTTATAATTGACTAATTAATCAGCCGAGTAACTGTTTGAACAGCTCCTTTGCATTATTACGTACCAACTGCTGGCAATATAAAAAGTAACATGGAACATTCTGTTTTTCCATTCCAAGTATTACTTTGCCTTCGGCGATTGCCATGCCTTTATAAGTGGATCGCTAATCGGTACCGCCAACAAATTAGGCTGAAGCATGAAGATATACATTTTGATTAGCTGCCTACTCGCATGTAGTGCAAACGGTAAGAGCACGAAATAATTTCGAAATTTATCCGAAATCAGAATATATTACGGCGCCACTTTTTACCTTCTCTGACTTCTTAATTATTGTTGCTATTATTCGCGTATTAGAATATGGCGATATAACTCTTCCTTTAATATTAGTTTTTCCCAAACTCTTAGAAAATGTATCGACTTTGGCTAATTGTAAAAACAGAAGAGAACTCTCGAAAAGTATTACATTATCGAAAAGTAGTAAAGTATAATGTAATATTTAATGTTCTAGAATTACAACTTAACATTTTTTATTTCTTTTAAACATTTATAAAGTTCATGGAAGATCTTCGGAAGTAAATATGTTCGTATAGGACGATTTTTTTGAGTAACACTTGTTCTGCAAAGAAATTGTTACGACCACGTGATGGTCTCTTCTATATGTTGTAAACATTTATACGATAAATTATTCTCTTCTATCCATAGTTCCAGAAACATTTGCAGCGATAAGTTTCAATAATCTACATCCCGTAATGCTTTACATTTATAAAATTAAATTATTAAATATTTTACAGGTTACGTGGAGCTCGATTTGATCCGTGACGGTGTATTGGATATCACAAGCGGAATAATTAACGTCGCTGACGTATTGGAAGATGTAATATTTGACGATACTCGTATTTCGATTAGACGAGATAGTCTTTTAAATACGAATGAAACTTTGGAAGAAGCAGCAAAAAAGTTGCCTCACCGCGTTGCCTTCAGTCTGTACACCAGACGCACAGTACACAGACCGGAACGATTGTTCCCGAATGACGTTAGAAGATTAAGGAACAGTCATTTTGATCCAAAGAGACCAACGAAAATCATTGCACACGGATGGAAAAACTCCAAAGTCGGCGGTTCGATCAGCTTGGTCCGAGATGGTGGGTATTATTTACAATGTACATGCGTTGTTCGAAACTTTATTTTCACTTTCACGTCTTGCAATAAATTATAAAGTTATTTCAGTAAAATCTTCCCATGAATTATTATGCCGCTAAATACATTTGCCCACTAAAGTAGACGCCTTCTTTATCACTTTAGTGAGAATATCTGAAACATTTCTTGCCGATCGACATTACGAAACTTCATTATGTGATATTCAAATATTAGAAAAACGCTGTTACTGTGACTACTAGTTCGATGTTTATCGTGAGAAAACACAGTATTAATAAAAAGAAATATTCTGAGAAATGTTTTGGATAGTCTTAAAATGACAATTGGTTCTTGGTTTTATGAAAAAGAAATTGTTGTACCTGATACCAACAATATACAGTGAGGGGATTAAGTCTTTACAAACCGCTTCCGCAATATTACGTTCGTCACTTTCTAAACAAAACGTTTATATAAAATTTACTAAAGATTCATAAGACTTCATATATTCGATTTTAAATTGAAAATACGATTTTGATAATTTTTTAAAGAACAGCTGTTCATCAAAACAATAATTTCTCAGCATGTCTTTCTGAAATAGAACAGGATCTGAAAGTGATAATGGAGAAATAGAAATTGATATTCTTCTCTTAAACGCGATGTCTTTTAAACCAGTATATACTGGGTGTTAATCAAAATGTGGAACACTTTCAAACGATTGACTATACATATAAAACGAAGACAAAAATTAAGAATGACAAAATTGCATGAGATGTTTCGTTTTCGAGTTATTAATTGTTGAAAATAAGGGAGACATACGCGTAAAAGATGTCTGACACGGCGGGTTATTCTACTTAAGAGGCGTGCGCCTCGATTGTTTCACAAGCAGGTTTCATTCATTTCCTTCTATTTCATTCATAATTTTAACTATGTAGGTTCGCGATCGATCCCGTGCATCAGCTGGGAATCGACCGTTTAAGTAGTATAACTAATCACGCCAGACGTACAAGATGAACGACCATGAAGAGATCACTTTAAATCGAAATAACTTTTTCTATAGCTTCAATGAAAAAAAAATTAGAAGACAACATTTTTTTAATATGACGACCTTCCGTAGCTATGACGTGTCGTAAGCACAATTTAAAATTTTCAATAGCAAATGAAAATATCCAAGCAATAAAAAATAATGATGATAAAGAATTGCCAATTTAAAAAATGAATTGTTATCTAACAGGAAATATTGTAGTATAGCGTGTGCAACAACCGTGGCTCCAAGTTACCTTGATCTTAAGCAATGCATGGGAGACTGTATCAAAGGCAGCAGCCACGGTGGCTCACGTTTGATCGCTGCAAAGTCACAATCCTGAATATACTTTCAGATATTTCGCGATACTTATATTTTTAATTCATAAAGTCACCTTATTGCGAAAGATATTTATAAAGAACTTTTGAGTTTCGAAGGCGTATCGTAAAAGCGCAGTGGATAATTGTGGGGCTCATAGCAAGGACAACCTTGTCAATTCTTGTTTATTTCCAGAAGAGTAAAAGTATGCTCTGACAATTTTAACAATATTAAGAATCGATTCACTTTCTTTTCTCAGAATGAATATAGATATTGAATGTTTTTGATAGTTTAGGTTTCATCATGTTGTGAGCCTCACTTCTGAAAAAGCTGCCTTTATTGTGAGCCCATCGATTTTCAATACTTCAAAGTCCGAAGACATGTCATTTGTTCATATCCTTTCTCTCGATCTTTTGAAGCTTTCCTTCAACATGGCGACTATAATATCATTGGCGTCGACTGGAGCGACATAACAAAGGAAGAATATCGTTGGGCGCAACAGCGCGTTTTGATGGTCGGCCAGTATACCGCCAAACTGATCAATTTTCTTCAGACGCATGGATTGAAGTTATCACAACTAACCGTTATTGGTCACTCTCTTGGAGGTCATGTTGCCGGATTGGCGGCTCGTTACACGAACGGCACAGTGGACTCCGTTGTCGGTAAGTGCATCAGCTACTTCGATGTTAAGTCAGAAGCTTTTCATTCTCGTTTCCGCGATTAAAGTCATTATTTAACTTATTTCGATTTCAATCGACCCATCCGTTTGTTAATCGCTATATCATATCGCAGCCAATTAGGAGGTTGAAAATAAGGAAATTGGAAATAAATTTGGGTTCGAAAAATTATGGTTTCGTGTAAATCTGTCGAAATTTCGACTGAACGGATTTGACTAGAGAACTATTGTTTTCATTTTTATTATATCTATGGATTCAATTGTCGTCATGAAATACAATACGCAGTCATGAATGAGGACAATTGTAGTAGGTAACTGGATAATATTCAGAATCACTGATCCAGAAAATGTGCTGGAACAGTGTGAATTTTTTTCGACTTTATAGTGCTTTAAAAACCTTCCCCCAACTTTTTCTTATAGTCTTGCGTACAGCGCATCGTTTCTTCTTAGATTGGATTTACTAATGCAATAGTTTCCACCAAAGCTTAAGTGTAATATATACTTACCCTCTCCATATTAAAAAAGACTAATCTATCAAAAAGTGGAGCTTTTTACTGAAGATGCATGTAGTGTTCACCACTATACCAATCATACAGTGCTTAGCATATGAATAACAATAATATTAATTTTATCACACAATCAAGTCAATTCATAATATAGGGGAAGGTTGCCGTATTTGAATTATTGCTTAGGTTGGACCACTACTGTAATTTGTCATGTGTAAGCAATTTGCGTCGTATGACAAACAATATGTGCGTGATAGTGGTGATTTCATTAACTAATTTGTTCATATAAGCAACATAAGACAATGGTCCAAATTCGGTAACCTTTCCCTATAATTGATCAGTCAGTATCACACGCAATAATTTCTATAAGAGTTTTATACATGTTTAATAAATCCGAATAATTAATTGAAACAAATTTATCGTTACCGATGATTATCCATACTGTACGTTTGTAGAAAAAGTCGTATAACAAGATTTACCAAGGCCAAGATCAATTTCTTTACAGCTTTGGATCCGGCTCTTCCAAAATTCGGTAACCATGGCCCTGGACAGACAGTCTCCAGAGGAGACGCAGCATGCGTGGAAGTGATTCACACGAATTCGGGTCTTCTTGGCCACAACATCTCGCTTGGCGACATCGACTTCCATCCGAATGGCGGTTCCTTGCAGGCTGGTTGCCCAACGATAATCGGTGGCCTCTGTTCACACTTAAAGGCGTACAAGTTCTACGCGGAATCTATCAACAGCAGGTTGGGTTTTTGGGCGGTGAAGTGCAACAGCTACGAGGATTTCAAGAGTGGCAGGTGCGACTCGAGTTCCAAGGTTCTTATGGGAGGCGTCAGGCCAGACTGCAAAGCTAAGGGTGACTACTACTTAAACACGAATCTATGGGCGCCGTATGCACAAGGAGTACTTTAAGCCAATACGCCATCGAAAATCATTTATGACGTTGTAAGTGGAATATGTATTGTGTTTTTTTAAAATGTTGTGGAGTAAAGATTGATAGAGTATTCATATGCCCGACATTTGTACCTACTCAAAGCAATACACTGGAAATGAGTGAATTTTGACGCAAAATCTTTGATGGGTAATACATATAAAAGGTGATTGGGAAATAAACATATGTAGAACTTAAATGGTCATGTTTCGCTAGAATAAAAGGATGGGTAGGAACACGTGGTCTGAAAGGTCTTGGATCTCATTTTGAACGCATAAACTGTTCTGACACCATTCCAGTAGCTTTCTCAAATCGGTATGTATCATAGCGATTGAATCTCACCTCAAATAAAATTACCGTACGTAAAGTCTTGTATTAACTTAGTAAGACTTTGTTTATGAATATAACAATTCTTTGAAAATGCAATATAAGTGTTAATCCCAGATAAACTATTAGGAACTAATTTATGAATTCCGTACATTTTATTTGTTTAATTCTACAAGGCATGTAAATAAAACAGGAGAACTTCCAAGATTGGTCTACCTTATTCTATATTAAGTAACTGTCCATGTTACAAATTTTTATAAACTGAGCTACAATATGATCAATTATACAATCAGATAATTCTGTATTCGTAAACTGAATTAACCCTCCAATTCCCATAGCTTAAATTAAGATCCAATATGGATAAATTTGATAACTCCTATTTCTATCGACATAAACAAATTATTCCATGATATTTTGCGAAAAATGTTTGTTGCGGGTTTGTCAAGGATGGATCAAATCAAAGCCCCTATTTGATGATTTATGAAATAAAATGTTGGAACAGACACTACATTTTTCATTAGAGCTCATTAAATCCTCTGAGCTTGCAATTTTTTAATGTCTGTTCCGTTCATACGACGGACTTTCTTTATTTGTATTATGTACTCATATTCTCTACGAACTTTGTAATTATCCCTTTTGGCGTGCCGAGACAATAACCTATCCTACGACATGGACGATTGCACTTAAGTATCACCTTAGCGACCAATAAACTTTCGTTAAAATTTGCTGTGTATATCTATTTTCTCAACCCGCATAGTATAAAAATATACGATAAAACTTCGATTAATCCAGGCTTTCAAAAACATTTTTCAATTTTGTGCATACAAGTTATTTTCTAATAGTTTGTACTTTTTATACTTCTTGCGTTCTTATATCACATACAATATGACACACTTACTGTACTACATACATGTGTCTCAGTGGTAACGTAATATCTACATCTATAACATGCATGTAACATAATGTTCCTTCCATCGAATACATTAAACATATACATATACTAAGTACTGAATCACTTTCTGAAAAAGATATTATTAATTCTACCTCTTATGTGAGACTGTACTCGAAACCAAATGTTTAAAGTTGCTCCGGGTATGTATTTATTTGTAATCACCAATCTTTGTAAAATTGTATGCATGTAACGTTATATAAAATTATATTTTATAAAATAACCCTCAGTTCCCCATAATTTTTAAGTACGAAACGACACATCCTGCGATGGTGGATAGCGATGTGAAACATGTGCTCGATTTAATTTCATAAATTTATCTTATTTGTACAGACTATATTGTAGTTTCTAACTTATAAATAACGAAATATTATGAAAATAAAATTTAATTTTAAACGTACTTTAAACACTAATTTGAAGTGAAAGACTATCCCAATACGGAACGATGTGTTATAGTATATTTCTGTCTAATAAGGGCGTAGGCCGTACAATTTATTTTTATCTGTAGAAACAAGTAAAGAGAACAAATTTATTTTATCTTATTAAGTATTTGACAGGATTTACAAATGCTACTTTATGTTCTCCTATTTCTTAAACACTTGTTATATTTGTTTTCTACTGTACACGTGCAACCTTGTTGCAGTAATCTATCCAAGATTGTCGATATCTGAATTCAATACGAAATGCATTATGCATTTCTTTATTGTTAGAACTTCTTTTGAAAATTGTTCATAATTGACTAATTACTCGACTGCACGATTATTCGAACAGTTTCCTTTTTATTATGACGTACCATCTGTTCGCAATTTAGAAAGGGACAATAGCAATTTTTTCTTATACCCCCAACTGAAATTTTCTTAGTTCTCGTGATATCTTTATAAGCAAGTCACAATTCGGTACCACCAGCAAATTCGTGTCAACCATGAAGACATTTGTCGTGGTCACCTGCCTGCTAGTATGCGGTGCAAACTGTAAGTTTACTAAATAACTTCGACACTTATCCGAAATAAAAACATATTACGGGGCCACGTTTCAATTTCGCTTATTTCTTAAATGTTCCCATTAACATGAGTCTTGTCCAAGCTGCTAGAAAGCGTATTGACTTTTGTTCATTTCTAAACCAGAAGGAGCCCCTTGAAAATTGCCACATTATCGAAAAAGAGTCAAACATGAAATAATACTCATTATTTCGTAATTATTATACTTTCCTTGCTATTACTTTTAAATTTTTCGGTTCACTGCTCACAAATATAAAATTTTTTTTAATTTTATCTCCACTTATAGTTACATTTTTCCTACTTGGCATTAGAGACTGTACATATAAAATGTAAACCACTACTGCAAAGATCTTCGGAACGATGGAAATAGGGGGTAATTTTTGTCAAACCATCCCTTGTTCCTGTAGTTCCAGAAACATTCAAGACACTAGCTTTTAATGGTCTACTCTGTACAGTGCAGATAAATTTTACCAAACTGTTGCATTTAGTAAGCGTTTTGCATTTATGTGGAATGGAATCGTTAAATTTGTTGCAGGTGTCCCCATCACCGAAGAGGCGGAAAAGGAAATAAATGATATTATCCATAGTTCTTCGACAGTATTGAATCTAGAAACTCTACAAGCGACACAATTTGATATGCCCGAACACGTATTCTTCCACCTGTACACAAAATACAACACGGAAGTTTCGCAACCATTGAACCCGAATGACACTGCTGGATTAAGGAATACCTACTTTGATGCAAGGAAGCCAACGAAAATCATAACACACGGATATCAGGACTCTGACATGGACGAAGCGGTCACCGCGATTCGTGATGGTACGTACTATTATACCTGACAAAAAATTAACGGGCTACGCGCTTTGGTGAAACTGCGCGACGGTTCTTTCCTTGCACTTCTGCAAAGCACGCGTTATCCTAGAACCGTTAGTTTCTTTTTACCGAAATTTTGTCATGGTATGAGTGAACTCACAATTTAACGATGGGAAACTATTTGGGGTAGACGAACCTTTACGGAAAAATTCTGTCAGTTGGTTAGCAATCGGGCGACAGAGATGTTCAGCTCACGGGAGTAATACGCAATGTTTTGGTGGTACGTACAAAATAACGAATATGCGGTTGCTGCTGTGCAAGTGTTTGGCTACGTTCTTGGGGCAACAACACAAATTGTTTGGCAATATGTATATTTATTATATTTGAATTTTCCATGACATGTTCTACAACCAGTGGAATTAGAATTGAATTTTACAAGGTATCAAGGTTTCTTCATTTATTCCTACCGATTCTCTCGATTATTTACAGCCTTCCTTAAACATGGCGACTATAATGTTATTACTGTCGACTGGGGCTCAATAGCAAAGAAGAATTATATTACGGCAAGTGACCAGGTTTTACCGGTCGGGAAATACCTCGCCAGCCTGATCAGTTTTCTTCAGACACAAGGAATGAGTTTAGACCAACTGACTCTTGTCGGTCACTCTCTTGGAGCTCATGTCGTTGGATTGGCAGGCCATAACGTAGGCGGCAATGTAAAGTTCATTGTCGGTAAGTACATACGAAGCGATTAAAATACATATTTCATACACTTCGATCTAATCAGACCTATCACTCCGTTAATCATAGTACAATAAGTAAACATTCCAACGCCTAAATTGGACATGTTTGAACAGATGTTAATACTCTTCGATATTCTATACTTTCAGACATAATTTTAATTATAAAAAGCTTCTTTCACCTGCACTCGTTTACACAAAGTGTCGTTTCTTCTGAGATTATACACAGTCAAGCCGGTTTAAACGATATTTAATTATCGTTATTATTGTATAATGTATATAATGTTATCAAGATAGCCATATTAGAGATTATCAATAGAGATAACACGATACAAAAATGTGGTGAATCTAAAAGGACGGTTACTCAACCTTTATAATTTATGCGCTTTATTCGTTGTCAGAAAATTTCCATAATCACAAATAACCGAGAAACGACGAATATGTAAATGCATCAAGAATCACTGTAATGTACTTTTATTTAGTATAAAAATTATTACAGATAACAAAATTTTTATTGAAAATAGTTTTTGTTAATGCAGTTACTTAAATAGATCAATATACTTGGAATCCTGATTGAAAGAATTATATCTCAATATTGATATGAATTGATTCAAATATGTCGGTGAATCATAAGTAGAGTTAAGTTCAATTTTTACCAGGACATGTCTCTTTATATATTCCAAAGCATAAGTGTAATATATACGCAATCAATGGTTAAAAAACTACACTCTAAAAACCTAACTTTCAACACAAAATCCACATAATGTTCATTAATACTAGGTTTACGGACATTTCTTATTTACTCATCTCTACGGACAGGCGTTAACGAAACCGCACATTTTCTTTAAAAAAAAAACAACTTATTTTATTTAATACTCAATTTACGATCGCGTCGGATTGACGCGTATTCGTAGAGATAGGTATACCACAGAGAGAATTTGGAAATTAGAAAGCAATCAAAATGCGTCAAAATGATGCGTCCCGTAAACGTAGTGTTAAATGTGTTCATTAAATGACACAGTGTTCATTTCATGAGTAACGAATTTACTTGTATCACAGTAGAAGTCAGAGCAGCGAGTACCTCTTGCTCTAACCTCTGCCAAAGTGTCCTATAAATATCTGCTTATTTCCAATGATTAGGTAGATCATAATTATCGTTTTGAACACTATGACGACCGGCTAGTTTCATGAGTAAGTTTCACCAGTGGCCGGTTGTTTCTGTCAAAAATTAACAAAACACGCTTTTTGTTACGTACAACACATAAAAACATTTAATAACTTGCATATCTGGAAAGTAACAATTATTATGTTATTAAAATATATATGTTTAATATCTTTTATCAAGTGGTAACTTGCAAAACAATCCCCCAAATGGAAGGGAACTTCAGAAAATTAATACACAAAATACAATATGTACCCTTCCATACCTACCAACCCGTAACCTTCTTTTACGATTGTTTGTGTCAGATATTTTAATTAACCGACGGTGCCTTAAATTTGCCGAATAGCCCCTGTGTTGAATCACAACTACATAATTGATCGGAGATTGCTGTTCCCTTACATTATCAACTTTCAAAATAACACTAAAATTTAATTTTCAGTTACTAACACCTAACATCATCGAGCTAATTTTCGAATGATGCAAATGTGGCGTCAAAAAGGTTGACGGCAGTGTCGCGTCATCGGCCACTACCAGTTGACTTACCAATGACCGTATCGTCATCGGTCGTCATAGTGTTAACAGTTCTCTAAACCGAGCGTACCTAGACAACACCTTATATCAAGATTTTCCAAAACTAATATCAACCTCGTTGCAGCTTTGGATCCGGCTCTTCCAAACTTCCCCCACAGGAACGATGACAACAAACTTCGTCGCATTGATGCCAAGTACGTGTTGGTAATACACACGAACGGTGGTGGTTTCGGCTACGAAACCACCATCGGTCATATCGACTTCTATCCGAATGGGGGCTCCTTGCAGCCTGGCTGCCTCAGCAACGCTCAGGTCGCCTGTTCCCACTCACGCTCGCACCAGTACTATGCTGAATCTATCAACAGTGCGAGGGGCTTTTGGGCAGTACAGTGCAATAACCAATACGACTTCTACAATGGCGAATGTAAATCGCACGCCAAGGTTCTTATGGGTGGCGTCGAACCGGACTATCGTGCCACTGGTGTTTACTACTTGGAGACCAACTCTAAAGCCCCGTTCGCGAAGGGCCCAATGTAACTTGATTCTGCAATTATGCAGTGTACACTGCGTGAAGCAAGTATACTGTTTTTAGTTAGTCGTAGGGTGACATTTGATTGTATTGCCTGAGCTATAGCAATAAATTTCCACTGAATCATTTCATTGGAAAAAAAATATGTTGATAATTCTATCTCTTCAATGTATCACTCTAATGGAGAACAAATCGTCTGCTATTGTTCTCACCGCATAGTTGTTTTTAACCACCCATGTCTTCTTTGTTTAATTGTTTCCATATAACTTTATGAATAATTAGACGGTATAAGAAAACGTACATTCCTCCTAAGATTTCAGTACCATTTAGCTCTGTCTGAAATTTTCTCGTCCGTCCGTGCGGATTCTCTTCCGAATCCGTCTGAGTTGCAAATCCCAGGCTCGACCGTTGTGGTACGCGTACGGTTGCAACTATTGCCCGCCGAATTAATATTAGGCAACTGTTTCAAATTTCTCGTAACTCAGTGTAAATCGTATAGTTGCTCGACTGTTGGAGCTTACGAATCGCGAATTCAACTATAAACGAGTCTTGTCGGACAATAAAATGCGGACTTTTCTGTACGAACGAGTATTCTCGAAAGTATCCGAATGAAGATAGACTCTGAACTGTTCTAGTCGATAGATCGACTCGATAGATAGAATCGTGTGAGTGATTGAATGCGAGTGTACTGGATAATGTATCGAATATGAGTGAGTCTTCGAGTGCTTTGCTTCTCGAAATTTTTTGAAACTTCCTTTTGCAACGCGCTTTTCCGAGATTCGTTGAAAGCATCAGCTAAATATCGCTTCCTACATAATTAGTTATGCCCTGAAGGGGAAGGCATATTCTTGGATTTTCCCGAGTGACGTGAAGGTAGAAAACCTCTCCTTCAGGGCGAAGCGGACGGCAGAGAAATATCGCGCACATGGTTACGATGCGACTTGGGTCCAAGGGGATCATGTTCCTAGTATAGTGAACACATAGACTGAATAATTCTAATATACCTACTTTGAATTTCACTCCTTACGTAAAAAAAATGTTTTTAATTGTTTACTGCGCAATTTCCAATCTAATAATTCCTGTTTTGCAATTAATATTACGAAAAATATTTTAACTAAATTAAAAAATTAATTAGGCTAAATATTATCCCCAACAGGTTATTCATATATTGAGTTTTTAAACATTTCAATATTAAAATATGATTCTATGCATGTCTCTTTCCTTCAGACATATATGTATATGTACAGTACCGGACAATTGTTTTCGGACAAAAGCCGCTTCCTGTATTATTTGACTCAAGAATACTACTGATGTTAGATTAAGTGCAGACTGTTTTTTAAATATCTGAAAATAATCAAATTACAAAAGAATTTCATATTTCATTAGGTTTAGTAGAAAGTATAAACATTATGAATACAACAATGGAATAATATAAAGAAGTTACTATATTCTAACACATTGCAAGTTTGTCTGTTACTCTGCTTTTACACTGCACAATCTTGACACGCAAAATATTTTCTATGATTCTATCATTAAAAAAGCGATTCCAGATCGCTTCAGGGTCTGAAGACATATTACTCGCAGTATTATTCAGTTCGTGGTATTATACAACAATATTATGCTGTAAAGTACACGTGATCCTTGCACGTACAGGATGTTATAATCATTTGGAATGATTATTACCGTAAAAATTGCAATACTTTCTCGTAATCTTCGTCACCAGCTCTTACTCTTATCGATGGTTTCACATTGCCTTCGTTACACGTGGCTATATTGTAAAATACGAAATAATAAATCTATGTGGTCAATCCAATAATTATTACTTCAAGACAGATCTGACGGCTCACAGACTGCGACAAATTTTTGAGAAAAAATAAAAACCTAGCTGCTCAAATTTCAGTCACTACACTTCGCTTACTATCACAATACTGATAAATAAAAATGTACATTGAGCGTACTATTACAGGGAGGGGTAAAATAAATTACTTTGCACCTCGTGAAAACATGCACATCTGTGATTACGAGTTGAACCATCATCATTTTGCTTAAATATCAATATTTGTCAGACATTATGTCTTCCAACTCATTTGACGCGAATAAACTATCCTCATGAATTAAAGAAGTCCGACTTTACATTCACGATCGCAGTTGTTTAAACACAAGTTTCCTGAAATATCTGCCATATCTGATTTTGCAATTGATATTTGCTCTGAACTCTCTTCGTCCTTCTAACTTCCCTAAAACCGTTGATGTAGACCACGAAGCATATTCTATGTTTCCTGTACTATTGTTTTCTGCGCTATAAATTCCTTGCCTGTTGACATAAACTCAAGATATGCATCACATTAACCTTGGTATTTCATTGTCATTGCCAATTGTCCACATTTGTATGAGAAACGCATTTATTAATTTCTCTTCATCAATGGCATTTCAAAACTGATTGGTTGAGATCCCAGATTGTATAGAAAGGTGATTACAGAAGTTGGTTCCAGTTCTACTTCTCTGCTTAGTCCTGTATGATGATCATGCTTAGTTCTTTTCATACCCCACAGGGCCTAATCTCTTGTGTTGATCAGAGTTCGTAGGGTGGTAGTCCACTGTATCAATTTTATTTGTTCATACATGTTCCTATCATCCTCTCGCACAATCTTTCTATCTACGTACCCGACTGCGAGGAACAATTATAAGCTTGATTATTATCTATTACAATATTAATTAAATTAAAGAATAATACTACCTCTTCTAGATATGATTCATTTTTTTCGTGTTATAGGACTACGCACATTTAGTATATTTCATAAATGAATAATATACGTGTAATACACGAAATATGAAAATATTATTAACATTATACTAGATATAAACGGTGAATTTATCTGGTCACTACGCAAGAAGTAAAATAAATATTGTTATTAACGCTTGAAAACTGAGAAATTATAAAATTTTATACCAGTGCATATGTACTATGTATAATAGTTTATTTCCACCAATCAGGCTCGTCCTGTTCAATGTAACAAGCAGAACAAGTTTCTTTCATAATATTTTATTGTGTTTTTCCCCTAGTTTAAACTCTGTGGATTAGTTAATGCATTCACACCACTATCGACTAAACGAAGCTTATGTAACGCATTGCTTATGTTGTAAGTATAGATATTTCATTTTGGATGGTTCTTTGAAAGTGGCTCTGGAATTGGCTACTAAAACCTTCCTTTTTTCTATTACGTACCATCTGTGTGCAGTTTAAAAATTAACAAACCAAATTTTATCTTATCATTACAGCTGATACATCGTCTTCGACGATTGGTGCCTTTATAAACGAACCAAAAATCTTAAACACCAGCAAATTCGATTTAAACATGAAGGTATACATCTTGGTTAGCTTCCTGCTCGCCTGCAGCAACAACGGTAAGGGTACTAATTCTGAGTCTTACTCAAACTGAAACTATATCACGGCGCTATTTTTTACCTTTCATTTTTTGAAATTATTATTTGAATTATTCATGCATTACATTACGACGTTTTAATATTGCCATTAACATTACTTTGCAAACCAGAAAAGCACCCTTGAAACGTATCACAGTATGTGGAAAGTATCAGATTATTGTATCTTAAAATTTCCTTAATATTAATTTTGTCGAAACTCTAAAAAAAGTTACACGATTTCTCTAACTCTGCTATATCTATTCTAATTTCTGCAATTGTCGCTTCGAGAAATGTTAATTTGCAAGGCAACGTTCAATGTTTTGCAGTTACTATCACCTCATTGTATACTTCTACACCTTCCTTCTTCGTTGCGTGTAGATATACACTAATTTCAACATAGTGTTCTTTATGAGTTCCATACCACGTAATATTTAGTCTGGTATCCCGCCAAGCACGCTCTATGTATATTTTGAATATGTGCACCACTGTCCAGATCAATGAAATTCATTCTATGATAAAAAACTATATGTTTATCCTCTTTCTTACTTAAACATTTGTAAAATTTCCAACTATTATGGTGGTGCCGGGTTTAGTTCATTTGCAGATAACATCAAGCAAAATCTCAGGATATGTACTGGAAAGCACTGGGATAAGTAAACGTTTGCTTGAAGCCCGGTGCCTCCAAAAATCCATTGTCTAATAGCAAACTACCTTCTATTGTATTTCCGCTTGCCAATCTTCGCCGATCACCACAATTTTATTTTCGCCCCCCAATCTGCACAGAGTGTTCTCACATCTAGAAAATACATAATTCTTGACAAAAACTAACTCAAACAACAGCTGTGCTTAGAGAAATGCCTAATTTATTTTCTAAAAACACTTGTCGCCGTGGTCGGGCAATAAATGATAAATTATAAAACGGTCAATGCCTTGTAGAAGGTATTACTTTATTCGGATATGCATTAATTTTTAAATCACATTTTTTTTAACACGATTTTTATTCCAATTTTTAACATAAAACACTGTACGACACTTATATAACTATTAACTTATTACAATGAAATTTCGTTACTTCGCTATATTTAACGCTTTTCATGTTACCGTTAATTACTTTTCGTTGTAATTATAGCATATATTCCAAAAAATTCGTATAATTTCATTTTACTCATGTTTGTTATAGCTTTATAATATGAAATACACACGCGATATGAGCAAATAGATTATACTTACTGAAGTAAAATACTAACCTACACTTTAAAAACATTCGAAGCTTGTGTATGCAAATAATTATGACGAAATATGGAAAATAAAGGAATATCGGACAACTCTCGAAGACTGTGACCTTACAATGTACGACGCATTATATATAAAAATAGTTTAAATGACAATTAGAACTATGGATTGTGAAATACCTTGAAATAATGCAATACACGCTGTTAAAAATATGTATGCATATATCTTTGAAACTACAGTTGAGTGCAGGTTATATGTATACAGGTTATATACGTGTCTTACCGGTACCCGATGGAATATCTCGCAAAGGTTTGAAGGTATCAAAAAAATGGTATAATAACAGTTGTTCGATACGTAGGGGAGCATGAGGTCCTCTGAATCATTTTTTTCTAAGTAGAATAGTAGGAGAAATTTCATAATCAAGTTAATTCTTTTAAAAGGAATGCTACAATTTTTTATTCATAATATGGTAACGTTTGGTGAGATGAATTCAACGATATTCCATATAAGATCATTGGGTGTGGTAGGAACTAAATTGGTGACTATCTTCGAATAGTCGTAAATTAGTGAAATTTGACGTCGGTGAAATTCGAAGGAGTGAGATCTACATGATCACAAAACGTGTACAAATCGCTGAACTCGGCTCACCAAACGGTGTCATATTGTGAATAAAAGAATACAGTACTCCATTTGGAAATAGTAACTTAACCTTCAAATCCCCTCCCATGACTCTATTCACAAAAAAATTATTCATGCCACACTATGTCGCCCTTAATACCAAACAATTTTTGTAAGAACATTTCTTTGATACCTTCAGTACCTTACACGATATTCCAACGAGTCCAATCAAAACCGAAACTTCGTATAAAAATTATTCAGGACATTGATCTTCATAACATACAGGGTGTTAATCAAAATGTGGGACACTTTCGCAAGGTGGATTCTACACGCCAAAAAAGGAAAGGGGTAATTCAAAAAGAAGTTACCTAATTGCATTCCTTACAATAACGTTAATAGAACATTTTTATATGAATGTAAAATGATTATGCGGAGTAAATTATGAGTAATGGTAGCTATCTCCTATAGTTCCAGACATATTCAAGGCGGTAATTTTGAATCGCCCACCCTGCACTATACAGATAATCACGTGAATGTAATACATTTGTATGAAATTAAATTATTAAATACATACTAGGTTTTTCGCTCGCTGCTAAGATCGAAAATGTGCTAAAGGACACTGAAAACGGAGCGCCTAAGATAGGTGACACATTGGAGAATGCTGTAGGTCTTACTAAAACTAAGGCAGAAAGAGAGCAGAATGTGCAAAACCTCGTACAGTTCTACTTGTACACCAGAAACACCATGCAAGATCCGGAACACTTGGTCCCGAATAACTTTTTCCTATTAAAGAAGAGCCATTTTGATACCAAGAAACCAACGAAAATCGTTACTCACGGATGGAGAGATTCTGCACAGTCCCGTGCGGTCGTCGTGATTCGCGATGGTATGTATTACTTGAGCAATAAACAATCTTTCGAAAATTGATTAGCATTTTCAAATTTCATCATGACGATGGCTTATGTTTGTAATATCTAAATTATTTTACGAACCATTCAAGTAAAAAATTTCTTCCATTGCTAACTCCTTATTTTAATTTACATGCGTTTTGTAAGACCGTAATAATACAAAAATAGTTGAAAAATATACATTTTTAATGCATACTTGCAACTTATTTCGCTATGAATTCATAAATGGTATTTAAGTTCTCCATGACGTATTGTACAAGTGCAGGAGATAATTTTAAATATTACGAGCTCCAAAAATGTATCATTGCTTCACGTACCTTCTATCGATCATTCGCAGCTTTCATTCAAAATGGTGACTACAATGTCATTACCGTCGATTGGAGCCCAATAGCAAAGACGGAGTATATTATAGCCAGTAATGACGTCGAGATGGTAGCCAAATATACCGCCACCTTGATTGATTTTCTTCACAAACAAGGAATGGATTTATCCAAATTAACTACTGTCGGCCACTCTCTTGGAGCTCACGTCGCCGCATTGGCAGCCCGTTTCGCGCAGGGCACAGTGAACTACGTTGCCGGTAAGTATAATCATAGTAATATAGTAAACATTCCAACGGTTTGATTAGACATGCTTGAACAGATTTGAACATTCTTCGACATTTTATTCCTGCAAGGATTTAATTCAATTTTTTTACTTAAAAAAATATTTGTTTAAATTTGTGGATACCGTGTGACATTTCTTCTCAGATTGTACTTAATAATATAAGGTTACCAACATGGGTAAACTAGAGATTGTTATCAGAGATGTCTCTGCACAAAAATATGATGACTGTAAAAACACGGTTTCAAAAAACTGTATTTTATGCGCTTCATAGATTTTCAGCATATATTCACATTTATGTTAGTACAGTGGACTCTAACCATATTGCTATGATCGGGGCTGTAGGGGAGTAAAATGGCAATGAGTTCAGACCCCCCGTCCATGCTAAATTCTATCATCATAGCTTGGGCCTCAGCGCCTGCGTAAAAGCTGGATCGTGCTGGTGCGCCGGCGTACGCAACGTGGTGGGAGAGCGAATTTCGGTGCAAGAAAGTACGCGTGAAGGGGAAGTGCCTTGCGTGGCAATATGTTTAGTGGCAATATAGTTAGAGTCCACTGTAGTCGAAAAACGACATACAGGATGTTGGGACGTCGCAAACTACTAGAGACGTCTGTCCAAATTTCTTGAAACAGTGTTTCTACTGGATGTTTCCAACACTTCGAACATGATGATTCTTGAGATGAGTTTCGATTTTTGGGACTAGGAAGTCACGTGGACTCAGATCAGGGTAGTAAGAGGACTGGGAAATCACAGAAATAACCTTATTGACTAAAAAAACTCGTTCACAGAGAGTGTTGTATGATATTGAGCGTTGTCGTGATGCAGCATTCCAGAAAAGTCCCTGTAAACGAATTTTTGTCAAAAAATGGTATGCCTGTGATACTACAGCCTCCTTACTCCCGTGATTTGAGTCTGTGTGACTATTTTTTTTTCCCAAACATAAGAAACCAACGTCAAGGACGTCTTTATGGAATTATGGATAACATCCTATAAATTGTGCGCTTTCAGCGCTGTTTCAAGAAATGGAAAGAACGTCTCCAACTGTTTGTGTCTTCCCAAGTGTATTATCACGAAGTGTATAATGTTGATTTGCAGGTAACTTGACAATACAAATTTCTAGGGTATGAATAGGTACACTTTTCTGACAGGCCTCGTGTGGTGATAGCTACTCAGACTAAACGTTTCCAGAAAACTCCTTGTAACCAGATTATTCAGTCTAATGTCGATCTGTTTGCAGCTTTGGACCCGGCCCAACCGAACTTCCTTACCAAGGGCCCTAACAACAGGGTTTCTCGCGGAGACGGGAAGTACGTGATGGTGATTCACTCGAACGGAGGATTCCTTGGTTTCATAACTACGTTAGGAGATAGTGATTTCTACCCGAATGGCGGCTCAGTGCAACCTGGTTGCGTATTGGATCCCAGTGTCACTTGCTCGCACGCACGTGCCTACGAATACTTCGCAGAATCTATCAACACCAAGGTGGGCTTTTGGGCGGAGAAATGCAGCAATTATCTCGACTTCACCACAGGCCAATGCAAATCGAATGCCAAGGCTCTTATGGGTGGCGTCAATCCGAATTACAATGTCAAGGGCAGCTACTACTTGACCACAAACGATAAGGCCCCGTACGCGAAAGGGCCATTGTAAACTGACTCATCGCAATCAGTTATCGATTGTATTGTAGCAGGAATATGCATTGTGTTTTCGTATCTAGTAGTAATGGGATCGAGTTCACTGTGTACTGACGAAGTCAGATCAATTCCAGTATAGAATTTCCAGTTCATGCGATTCGATTACTATTCATAATAGGTGATGTTTGTATAAAACAAGAACGAGCATGTGTACTAAAAGACCTTTTGTTATTATTTTTCACTTAGAAGAAATTACGTACTTGTATAAATATCTTAATAAAAATGTTCTGCTAAAAATCTAAGGTCTATCTATACCTCATCCAACAGATCGAGTTAGTAACTACATACAAAAAAGAGGGAGGTGATGACAACTCAGGTGGGACATGGACAGAGACAGTTGCCAGCCGTTACTTGGGCTTAATACACGAATGTTTTAATCGAATCTCGAATATCGGAAGAACTCGTCCGAGCCTTGCCGAATTTTGCCGATCTTACCCGAATATGTCGAGCTGGCCCAACACGATCAAGCTACTCGAAACGATTAAGCTACCCGAACATTCGTATGCCTCGGGTACCCGCTCGAGCTCGCTTGAAAACTGACAAAGATCATATATGTTCGACATTTATATTCATAGAAAAGTAATGTAATGCTATTTTCAATGGAAGAGACAAAATGTGGTAGTAAAATTGACGTACAATTTATGTGCACAGCTTCGCGAGCTAGAATGAAAGGATTGATAGGAATTTTCGGTGTGAAATATTTTTGGCCTCACTCTGGTCGAACAAACTGTCCTAAATCTATCCTAGGTCGATAGTTTTCGTCCGTTAAATCAACATGAAATGCAGTTTAAATGAGAATAAGCATGCAACGTCGCAAGTACTAATTACAGTAGAGTTACGTTAAAGTAGCGCTGCCGGGGCTCTCGAGGTGGGACTTTCCTGGAAACGCTACTTTAACGTGAGCCAATGGGCACGCAGAGTCTCGTGGCAGTTCGGCCGATCCACTATTTGAATCGGAACTTTGGTCACAGAAGGCAACCGATAACGAGTTGCGCACACGTGTGTGAATGATGCATGTGATCCGGGGCGTTCCTACCGCTACTTGAACGTGCGCTACTTTAACGTGAGTCTACTGTACATTGAAATAGAGAAAATATGGAATAACTTATACCGACGAATTTCTTTACGTCATAACTTTGTCTTGTTGAGATACGAGAAATGCATATGTACGAAGAGTGTTGCATAAAAAACACTACTAAATACGTATACAAATAGTCGGTCAACTATGATAAAGTCAGAGTCAGGAAGCAACCGCTTATCTAATTTGAGATAAAAAATAGTCGAAGCACGCGTAAATGGGAGAAAGTTGAGATCAATTTGCTCTCAAGAATTACGCGTACATCGATTCAATCTGAGTATTTATTGTAATTGGCTACAGCTATTTCATTGTTGCTTCGTATAATTTTTTATTCAAATATTAACATATGTTTAAAGGCTTGCAGTGCTTCCATCGATACACTAACTTGTTACCATTCATGATACACTCAGGGGAACAATTTGTAAAATGTTGTATGTACCTTTATAGACAATTTGATTCTTTAAAAAACGTATGTTTCTTATCATTTTTTAGTAAAAACTGCTCCTTTCTGTTGAGCATATAAATTATGTGCAATACATGTATGTACACATTTGTTGAAGAAGTTATCTTAAATGACCAAAATATTTCGTATTTTCAGATATATGTATAGTACATATTTGAAACAGAAACGATAGAAAACCATAGGTTATTCAATTCAAAGTACACATCTCCTCCTTTTGATACAGTCTTCTTCTCTGCATACGAAAAATGATAACAAAAAGTTTCGTATAAGATTATAAACGTTTTATATTTATATGAAATTAGAAAACAAATGTTTGTTTATAAAAGTGAACATTTACTGAAATCGAGCAATTGTTATAGTAACTTACTTACCATTTCATACGTTCTATTTACAAACTCTTTATTTTCTTCTTTCGTTCATAACTGGTTCTGCCTCTTAAATATTATTAAACCCACATGACTGACAATATTTTCATTATTGTATGAGAAATATTTACGTAATATGTCAATTACTTGGCTCTGAGTTTTGCGCAGACAAACTTAAATGTCGTCGAGGACATTAGGTATCATGCATCGCCTGTTTGAAAAGAGTCGATAAAAGGTTCCTTGCATGTCAATTGTCATTGTATGAAAAAACTCCTAAGAAGAAAATGACACTATCTGCAGAGGCACTCATAAGATAGAATATTTTTCTCAAGGTTCTGTTTTAAGAAGATTTCAAAGTCGCTGTTGTTTTTTCAAATATTACCCTATATCTTTTTTTGATATCCTTATATGAATATAAGAAACTAATTCAATGACTTTAATAACATTACCGTTTCGATTATTTGGTCGGAATGTTTTTTCATCTGAAGAGCTCTCAATTACATCTACTATTACGTTTGTATATGAATTTGTGAATCAATGTGCCACATGTTTTTTGAAAATGTCTCGAAAAAATAACGGAGATATTTAGATGGTTACGTTTGTAAAAGTGGAACAAAGAAGCGATGATGTATCCAATAAATTGTTAAAAAAAATAACGTTGATCATGAGTAGGTAAATGTTTTCCGAAATCACAGCACCGTCCGTGGCGTGCGCAAGATCCGCATTATAAATCTCATCTTGAAGCAACAATTACAGAGTGGACATAAAAAATGTTGAATGCACAGATTAAACTTATGGCACTTACAGCTTCTTTTATGTGCAGTCTTAGATTACTGTTAACAGATACATGTTATTAATCTACCGAACTGAGTATTCAGTAATAAATTATTGTACATTTACCGATAGTAATAAACAAAAATGCCAATGTAATTTAACCAGTAAAATGAATTTTCTGAATTTTAAGCTGTTGATACAGATTTTGTGTTGACTTTTGATTTTCTTTATTGGAACTATATGTATACTTTCGTTTAACTGAACATACAGCCCTTCCCGAGTTGATTTGACTGATCCATGATACGTTGGTGTTTTAAGGTCATTCAACGTCATTTACGGTCGTTTGATCTTAGTTTGTTGAATGGTGACAAGAATTTCTCCGACGTAGAAATTTGTCGACACGTTCATAAACGTGACGCCAACTGACATCTGTATTTTTATTTACAAACATGGAATATCTGATGCTACGACATTACACTGTAATTGGTTTGAAGCAATCAGAGTTATTGTGACTAACGTCACGCGTTCTCCGTTTTGGTAGCAATTCAATTTGTGATGGCAGATGATACGCCTAGTGAAATTGTTGATATGAATTTGGTTTTTGAGAGAGTGTTGGCAAAGTTATAGGGCAGCTGCTCGGTTTCACCGTGAAAGATTTCCAGAACTCGAACGCTTGAATGTCGTATGTTTTTATCATTTAGTGATTCTCGATTATGTGGTTCGTGCTTTCGAGAAAGTAGAATTATCATTCAGAGATAGAATGAGCCATTCGTGCCTGAATGCGTCGATGCCCAAGGCCATTCTTTCGAATACACAAGATAAGGAACATTTTTCTGGACTTCCAGCGAACAATATTTAAACGATCGTAAATCCTTTTATTGTACACAGAGTATCTCGATTAATGCAGTCACATCACTATTAACCATTGTTCATATTTGAATTAAGTTTACGCCATCCATTACGCATCTCATCATTGTACGAACTAGACTTCTGAAGGTTGTTCATAATTGGCCAATTAATCAGGTGCAACACTATTCAAACGTCTTCCTTTTCATTATCACGTACCATCTGTTGGCAATTTAAAAAGTGGCATACGAAATTTTCCCTTCCGTTTCAACTGATAGATTGTCTTCGGCGATCGATGCCTTTATAAGCGAACCACAAATCGGTACTACCAGCAAATTCGTCTCAAACATGAAGACATTCGTCTTGTTTAACCTCCTGCTTATATGCAGCGTCAACGGTAAAGATACTAATTCTGACTCTTAACCGAAATAAGAATTTATCATGGCATCATTCTGGACCGTTCGTTTTCTTAAATTATTGTTTCAATTATTGACACACTAAATTATAGTTAACTATTCTCATATCATATTATAGGTTAATATTTTCTTCACTGTTGGTTCTGTTCGAACACTCGGAAAAGTTGCCAGGTTTCTCTAATTCTTAAAGCAAAGGGAGATACTTGGAAACGAAAGAACGAGACACGGTCGAAAAAGAGTCAAAGATAAAATAATATTCAATGTTCTATACCTACCATTCTTTCTGACTATATTCCTAACGTTTACCATTGCTCCGTTTATATAATAGATACATAAGAGAGGACCAATAAATATTACCTCGCTAACGGTACGTAGAACTGTGGAAGTAAGGAAGCATGCCGCCTACAATGTAAAAAAATATCAAACTGTTCTATGTCCTCTAAATGTACTACATTTTTACGTAATTCAATTTTTATATTCAGATATTGCAGGTTCCTCGATCACCGATGCCATCAAACAAGGGATAGATAATATTGAAAAAGGAGCATCTGCTGTAGGTGACTTATTCCATGAAGTGGCAAATGGTAACCAACCTGCAGGTCAAAATGAATCCGATGAACAAATAATAAACGATTTGAAAAACATCGCAATTTTCAACCTTTACACCAGAGACACTGCGGAGCAACCAGAACAATTGGTCCCAGATGACGTTGACCAATTACTGAATAGTCACTTTGATCCTAATAAATTAACGAAAATCGTTACGCACGGATGGCAAAGTTCCAGTAACGAGGATGCGGTTGTCTTGGTCCGTGATGGTGAGTATCATTTAGAAAGTGTAAGTTTCATTCGAAAATTCATCTTCATATTTACCCTCTGGTTAAAACGCTGGAAAAGTACGTGATGTTCATGAATTTACATAAAAACAATGGAACATACGGTAAAAAGCTGTCTTGATATTTATTACTCTATATTTGAAGAATATAAAAAATTTATTGTTTAAATTTTGTCAACTTTTGCATCAAATATGTAGCACTCATGGTACTTCTGTAGAAATTGTAAGTCTTGTCAGGCGCCATCAAAACTCGCGAACGGATTGTCTTAAGTCAAAAAACCAAGAATATTCTTAAAATATGTGTTACTGGCTATCGCCCTACCTATCTTTATTTCAAAAGAAGAATCCGGTGATCTTTGGCATGTGTTTAAACAGAATGTAAAAAGAACGGATATTTTTACGCATAAATTACTCTATAAAAAAAATGAATGATCCAAAGTTAAACCTCCGTAGGTAACGCGATAGCGCTCCCAATCTCTTTTTATGACAAAATTTTCAGCGTTACGACTGATATTAATGCTCAATAAGTCCATAGTTGTCAATAAGGGTTTGCATCCTTCATTAAACACACATGCCAAAATCCAGGCCGAAATTTTAAGAACGTTTCTTCCACTTACGTACGCTTATTGAAAGTTTCACTATAATTTTGAATATTTGTTTCTATGTAACATGTTAAAAATTCATCAGAAGTAAAGTTTTCATATACTGGATTTACGATTAAGTGTACTATTGGATCTCATCTTTCGAGTGCTAGATGCGGTTGGTGCGTTAGGGTGATTTACATGTTTGCAGAATCGGTACTTCTGCGAATTTTCGACTGACACGCTGAAATGGCATTCTTGAGATGTTATACGATGAAAATACACAATCAAAAAAATCGGTTTTAAACAAATTTTGACCGAGGGTACCGTTAATGTTAAAAATTATGCAAAAATTATTCGAGTATCATCTCTTCTTCTATTATTGTATCCTTATGGACCGCATCCATAATATTATGATCGTCTTCTAAGCAAAATACTTATATTTATATCGCAAGAGCTTAATATTATGTGGGTAGATTTTAAATGCGTTCCCGTGTTTTTTGAGGAAACTTCGAGACAAGTTTCACGTATAAAAAGAAAACTTTGGTGAATAACTTATTGTCTATGTATTTATTAAACAGTTCAATTTCCTGTGTGATTTGATATGGGTTATTTTCAACTAATGTTTGAATTTGATCATTGTCACTGTCGTTGGCATTCTAAAGTATGTAGCGTTGTCGAAAGCAAAATTTCCTGCAGGAAATTGGGCAAACCAAAATTGGTATACTCTATCATTCACAGCACGCTGCACACATATTTTCTTAGAGTGTACACTGCCTTTTTACCGTTACGGTAATAATTAGATATTACTATAATTAGACATTAATATATAAAAACTACTATTGAGCAGATTTTTATTTTCTGTACCAGAGGCTTCAAAATATTCATAATATTACAGAAGTAGTTTTAAACTATATTAAAATCATTATTTTGCTGTACTTTACAAATTAAGAGACGCAATAATTATTATCTGTCACTTCAAGGCTATGCTCAGCACGATAAATGCAACCAATCTTTATGCTTTTGCTCCCGATTGACGCTTTGAAATATAGACCTTGAGATTTTACTTGCGTTTGTGAAAGGCCTTGCATATTTTCTCATGCCTATCGTAACACAGACGTCACGATGAAAAAAAAGAGAAGGCTTTAATAAAATAAAAGAAGAAATAGCCGTTTTTAGGATATCTTTCTGAACTTCGACACGATTAGAGAATTTAAAAATGACCCTCGCCGTTTTAGCAAGGTACCATTCAACCTAATATTAATAAAAACATCCACTAAACGAAATCTGTACATAATGAAAAAGAAACTTCATACTCTGAGAGTTTTCATAATAGTCGTCTTTTTGGTGTGTAAACACAAATCGTTTCGCAACGAATATATTTAGGGTTGGTATTTGAGTACTTCATAACATATTATACAAAAGGGAGAGTTAAGATTCAATTTCGCGATATCCCAAGATTTTTCATTTATTCTAGACCATTATCTCGATCGTTTGCAGCCTTCCTTAAACATGACGACTGTAATGTTATCACTATCGATTGGAGCGCAATAGCAGATGGGGATTATCTTCGGGCCAGTAACAACGTCTTGAAGATAGGCAAATACACCGCTATCCTGATTAATCTTCTCCAGACAGAAGGATTGGATCTAAATAACCTGACCATTGTTGGTCACTCTCTTGGAGCCCACATCGCCGGACTAGCAGCCCGTTACACGAACGGCACAGTGAACTATGTGGTCGGTGAGTACACCACCTCTAAAATAATTATATGTATATTTTACGTTACTCAATCTCAGCATACACATCTCTTCTCAAACATCTTAGCAATCTATTGACTTATCCTTTTTGTAGCACTAACATTCGATAATTTAACAGTTCCTATTTTTTGCTACCACTAAGTAATTCTATAATACATAAAAAAAAAACATAAAATTTGTGAAAACCGTATTAAGCTCTCACGAATTACATGATGTAGACCTGAACTTCTACGATCACGATCGATTGACAATCCGCTTATATTTTACAACCTTACAAACAAAAACAGATGACCGAGCATTCTACGAACGATTCTTTATTCATCGATTTTCTATTTTTTCTTACCTGGGTTTCGGGAATTCCGAATGATGAAAAAAGTGCAAAGTTTCAAATTCTCGAAACTCGGAACTTTGTTGGGTTTCGACGTTTCGAGAACCCCAACCCTATGTTCCACCATCCAAACCAAGTTAGTTATTCAAATGCCCTGTTTTAAATGTCCTACCCTGCATAATGTTATCTATATAGGTACATTAGAGACAATAGAGACTACTAATGCAAAAACATTGTACAAAAATTTAGCAATTGTAACAGGATGGTTGGTCGCATATTATAACGTCACTTATATATTGGGTTGGCAAGAAAGTATTTTCGGTTGTGGCACATAGATAGCGTTGTAAGCGTTTTGAAGGACTCCTGTCTGCGTTATGGTTTTTTCCTTTTGACATTTGATATCAGTCACATTTAGGTTACTTCAGAAGCAAGTTGTGCAAATTTTTGTTGGTAGCTGTTAGTTCAGGGTCAATTTTAACATGGAGTGCAAAAACGAACATTTTCGGCATATTTTACTCTTTTATTTCCGTAAAGGAAAGAAAGCTGCTGAGGCCCACAACGAGATATGTGAAGTTTATGGTGTTGATTGCATAAGAGATCGCACGAGTCAGAATTGGTTTAAAAAAATTCCGTTCTGGAGATTTTTCACTCAAAGATGACCAACGTTCTGGTCGACCTACTGAAGTTGATGATGACCAAATCAAAGCCATAATTGAAGAGGATCGTCACATAACTGTTCGAGAGATTGCAGAGAGGTTAAATGTATCGCATACAACAATTGAAAATCACTTAAAATGTCTTGGACTCGCTAAGAAGCTCGATATTTGGGTTCCGCATATATTGAAAGAGATTCACTTAACACAACGAATCAATATTTGCGATATGCATCTCAAGCGCAATGAAGCCGATCCTTTTTTGAAACGTATCATCACTGGTGATGAAAAATGGGTCATGTACAGTAACATTATTCGAAAACGATCATGGTCCAAGCGTGATGAACCAGTACAATCTACATCTAAAGCTGAATTGCATCAAAAAAAGGTCATGTTGTCAATTTGGTGGGACTACAAAGGTGTTGTGTATTTTGAGTTGCTTCCAAGAAACCAGACGATCAATTCAGATGTTTACTGTCAACAACTATTGAAACTGGATGAAGCAATAAAAGAAAAACGGCCAGAATTGGCAAATCGCAAAGGAATTGTGTTCCACCATGATAATGCAAGGCCTCACACATCTTTAGTAACTCGTGGGAAATTATTGGAGCTTGGTTGGGAAGTGATGTCGCATCCCCCATACAGCCCTGATATGCCACCATCTGATTACCATTTATTTCGAAGTTTGCAAAACTCTTTGAATGGTAAAACTTTTACAAATGGTGATGACCTTAAGTCGCACTTGGTTCAGTTTTTTGCTGATAAGGACCAGAAATTCTATGAGCGCGGAATCATGAAGCTGCAAGAAAGATGGCAAAAGGTCATTGAACAAAATGGAAAATATATAATTGATTACTGTTTATTCTTTGTATAAAAGAAATGAGTTTTATTTCACACTACAAAACCGAAATTACTTTCTTGCCAACCCAATACTTAAATAGATTAATAAACTTCAAGTCCTGATCTAAAAAATAATTGTACCTCAAACGTACCAATTGATTGAGAAATGCAGGTCCCAAGGCATCAATATATCCAGGTTCAGTCATCGAGACAATTGTCTTTGCATCTTCAGTCAGAAGGTCTGGCCAAAACTTAAGCGCAATATATGTGGACGCAATCAATGTTAAAAAAATAAATCTCTTGAACAATGAACTTTTCTCAACAAGATCCACGTATAATGTGAATAATAATTGCCTCTCATTTGAGTGTATAGTGCGCATTACGTAAATGACTATTTAACTTTTTAACAATCAATATTGCATTGGTGCAACACTGATTTTAAAACTGCATCAAATTCTATCGCCGGTTAATATCAAACTTTTTTCAGCAAGGATACGTAATTTCACTGACAGCAAAGTAGATCTGATTGTTTTCGGTTGGGAAATTCAAGTATTCCTTCCAAAAACAAATAAAAAACACAAAACAATACAAAGAATAGTCGATATAATATCGATATTTATGACTTCAAAATAACAAGATACAACATATACACATCAGTCTCATAATTTTTAGATAACGATTCTTAGGCCTGGGCGTTAAAAGGAAAGTAAATTCAGTAGATCCTTAATCAGTCGATAACTACTTGCTTTTATCTCTGCTGAAGCTCTCTATGAATCCTTACGGATTCTTGATAATTAGTTGGATCAAATTCCATCTATGTTGATAGTTTTTCATAACTAAACGTGTCTACAGAATTCCACGTAACAAGAGTTTCAAGTCTAAAGTCAATCCTCTTTACAGCCTTAGATCCGGCACTTCCTAACTTCCCGCAAAGAGATAGTAACAACAAGCTGTCTCAAGGGGACGCCAGATACGTGGAAGCAATCCATACAAACGCGGCTTTGGCTGGTTTCAAATCACAGGTCGGCGACGTTGACTTCTACGCGAATGGTGGTTACTTACAGCCTGGTTGCTCGCTTAGTTTATCCTGCTCGCACGGTCGTTCCTACGTGTACTACGCAGAATCTATCAACAGCGAGGTGGGTTTCTGGGCGGTGAAATGCAGCGATTTCGTCGACTTCAATCTAGGCAATTGCAACTCGAATGACAAGGCTCTTGTGGGAGGCGTCCAGCCGGACTACAATGTCTTGGGTACCTACTACTTCAATACGAACAGTAACCCTCCGTATGCGTTAGGCTTAATTTAAGCATTCCGCCAATGCATTCAGCTAATGTATCATAAATGAAATATCTATAACATGCTTATAGTTATACGGTTTGTAGAAACGGAAGGCCATGCAATTGATTCCTGTTACATTTTAACTTAGTATTGTTTCATTGGTTCGAACTGTTCTAGATTATAGAAATGAAATAAAGGAATTTGTTCACAAACTGGTAGGAGACTAATTTATTGAGACCAATAATTTGCGAAAGCTGAGATAAACTGAATACGATAAATAATGAGGGTAAATTTAATGATCAATTTAATTTCTCTTCGTAGACACATTTGTGTACGTTTCCTGATAAATGGATTACTACTTATGCAGTTCCGTCATACCTTCCGTTCCATTGCCGACTAAGCACACTTTTCCTGGAAAAGGAGTGGAAGACAAGGCTCCATTGTTCAGTTCCCAGCGCAATAATTCACCGCCAGGAAAACTTTTGTTCGACGGCTAGGTTTACCACGTTCGAGCAGCTTGATCTAAGCACCCTGAGAAAGGTCCTCGTTTATCGGAAAGAATAGATTATGGGAAAACCCAGATACTAGCCAGCGAGCAGTTTACTACACTAAACCGTTGAAACGCAATAACAGTTGTAGACGGAACATGCATAGACTGCTTCCGTGTATGTTATTTGTATTAATGGAAAGCATAAGAATGTGTTCATTTGGACTTTAATGTTATTTTCAATGGAAGAGTCTGAATGTGATGGTAAAATTCATAGGGAACACAAGTGCATATGTTTCAGTCGCTTAAGAAAATGGATCGATATGCGAACGGTGTTGGACCCTACACAAGTATACTTGAGTATAACAAAGGAATCACGGGTAATTACTATCATTATCTTCTTGAGAAGCTAAAACGGAATGTTACTTGTAATACTGCGTCTTGCGGGGAGCTGTTTATGACTACACGATAGCCGACCGATTCTGGTTCACATCAGACTGTTTTTCGACAAAACATCTAAGATAGATCTTAGTCAGCAACCACTCCCCGTAGCTACTACAAGTTATCTAGTATGTACCTAAGTTATACATATGCATAAGTAAGATACATTCGTAATCAGTTAATCAAACTCAAGCCGTATAATTATAGGGTCCATCTTCAGTACAACGTATACAGGGTGTTCCAAAATAGCTTCGACTCCCGGAAATAAGGAGTTCCTGGGACGATTTGAAATAACTCTTTCCTTTGCGAAAATGTTATCCGAGGCTTTGTTAACGAGATATTAACGAAAAGCCCCGACCAATCAGAACGTGAGTCTGTCAGCCGAGTTTCCGCGGTAGCGTTGGCTACGCGCTGCGATTGGTAGCCAACGCTACTGCGGGAACTCGGCTGACAGACTCGCGTACTGATTGGTCGGAGTTTTTTGTTAATATCTCGTTATCAAAGCCTCGGATAACATTTTCGCTAAGGAAAGAGTTATTTCAAATCATCCCGGGAACCCCTTATTTCCGGGAGTCGAAGCTATTTTGGGACGAATTTCCATTGAGACACACATTTTCTGCTATTTCTGTTGAGATAAACAGATTTTTACTGCTTAGCAGGTTGTAAACATGAGTATGGTTTAATACTCCCAATTAAATCTCTTTTACATGGGATTAAGTATAAGACAAGGAAAGAAGGAGGATTAACCTAGATGAAAAATACCTTTTACATGAGCTATCGATCTACTAGCTGACTTTCAATTATCAGCTGAGATTCTTGTTTGTTATTTCGTTCAAAGTTACATTGTTTTCAAAGCGTTCACGTAACAGTTTGAAAGCGTAAATATTGTATAGGTATCGTGAAATATGAAGTAATGTATCCCGATTCAATAAAATTGCTTATCGACCAACTGCCTGTTCAATTTCCGACCGGCGGTCCTGCCCGGAAACAATTAATGTTGTTTTCTGTCCTAAACTGTCTATCACCGGCAGTTGGTTTTTCAATTGATTGACTCACAGATAACTGGACCACTGGTAATCTAACCCCTTTACACTTTATTACTGTTCGCGCGGAATTAGTTTTCGGAAACGGTTTAGTAATTGCTTGTCAGCGCTTTCGAATTATTTCACAGCACACAGAAAACGATATTATTTCTCGGACTTTCCTTCTCTTTCATAATTCTTGTTGTTTCATTCGTATGATTGCAATAACCTTTTTGTATTTTGTCAATTTTTGATTATATATTGTATATATGTAAGTATCCATTCAAGTATATAACTTCTACCAAAGACATTATTATTCTTATTATTATTACAACATTAAACTGTTTCATCATCGTACACTGTTTTAGGAGCTATTATATTACTAGTCCTTAAATTAAACTGAACCATAGTTAAAATCGAATCGAGAAAATGTGTTCACCTATCAGCAGATTGTAATACACGTTATTTGTCGATGTCAAATTAGTTTACAAGTTTTGGTAATGAGAAGAATAATTAAAAATCGAAGCTCGGTTTTAGGGTACAAGTTATCAAGACTCAGTGGTGACAAATCGTTAATACATTTGAATGAAATTGTATTGAATTATGAAAGTTTATTCATTCTTATTAAGTTCAATAATTATATATACGTACTTTTTGAATCCAGAATAATAATCTGTCAGAAATTGATAGCCCCTAGGGAATGTTGTAACTGAAATTGATGAGTCTAACTACCAAGTCTGAGACAAAATGCAAAAGTGTTTGGAACTACATTCATATATACTGTAACATTACAATAAATTTGGATAGCTCAGAGTGAGATACGAATATACGATTTAGGTGATCAGAAATTGCTCTTAAGTGATCGGGAATTCCGTAACGGTACACCGCGACTCAATAAGGGATTTTAAAGACCGCGCACGGTTAATGATTCGGTGGAATATCCCTAATTGAAATACCATAGTAAAAGATGTTCGTTCAAAAACATTTGTCTATTACTGTATATCTACTACCAAGACATTATCCCGACAGAAGGGATACGTTTCTGGTCGACGAACAATTAGTCAACTGAGCGAACCCCTCGAAGCGCTCTTCAACGACAGTTATTGGGAAACGCATCGACCGCGGCAGACATTTTACAGAATTTCACCATATTTGCGTTACACTCGTGCGTATTGCAGAATGAAAATCGCCAGTTGGGAAATTGTCGCCGACGATGGATCGCAGAAAGCGCGGCCTAAAGGACTCCGTGGGTGCCACTAATTCTTGTCACCTAGCCGCCAGGTGTATCCAGCTGGTCGGTCAAGATTAAAAATCGAAATTCACGCCCAGGGAAAAAATTAAAGTTGTAAAGTTTCTGGTATCTATCACTGTGGCTCGGCTCTTCATATATCAAACCAATACAACTCTCGCTTCCTGGCTATCGTCCACGAAAACTATTGTCCGTTCTCCCTTCCGTCGTTTTCACCTAGGAGAGAGCCAATTATTTTTCCGAGAATTAACCTCCGGTTGGCCATTTATTTTTCTCCAAGAATTGCCACCGAATGAGATCTAGTTCACGATTCTGTCGCGGGTTCATGAAAATTCTCGTTGCGAATTGAGCTCGGCACGCATGTCGGATTAAAATCTCTCCATCCAGTCCGCTAGAGCCACTTTCGGCGACCTAAAATATTTTTGGAGATTGGAATGTCTGTGCGTAATTCTAAGCACGCTGATAGGGGAACATATTCAGTGGAAGAAAATTCAGTTTCATTGCATGACCAGGAAACAAGAACATGGACAAGTCACATTTCCCGATTTTTATAGGAGAACAATTTTAAAGATCAATTCTCAACCAATTCCATATTACTAACACTGCATTTTTATTTGGTTTTAGGATTAATCACCCACTTGAACATTTCCAAAACATTGACTGTGATAATATTACTATAGTTACGGTCTTGGTTTTTACAAAAATTCTTTAAATAATCACTCTCTTGAGTACCATTAAATTGCCATTTAACTTTTTAAATTGAGTTTTTAATATTGAAATTTTCGTGGACATCAAATTACTCCCCTGTTTCGATTGGACTTGTCATATTATTTCTCTATAAACCTAGTTTTACATGTCATGTTATTTCTTATTGTCATATTATTTCCTTATAACCTACCCCAGACCTTCAGATCTAACAGGTTGTTCCCTTTTTCAACTATGTCCTGTCAAAGAACTGCCTTTTAGCTACCAGAAGACATAAAAATCACTTTTACTGTATGGTCTCTAAACATAATGGCACAGAAAGTTTATTATGCCGTAGAAGCGACTTCATGTAGTTCGGTACCCCTCTGAAGAATCATTTTAGTCTCTGGTCTCAAAAGTGTTAGGACAAATTTGGTAAACCAACGTTGGTACAAAGACATTTCTGTTGTCGAGAGAAACACGTGTAAACGAAGTAACGTGGGGTGCGATTAACGAAGAGGTAACGGACACGTTTTCTCTGGTCACCCTTCGAGGTATATTTAATAACCACTCCTCGTTTTTATACCCTTCCGGAAACTCGTTTTGTGACCACTTTTGCCCCTGAGAAACTGGGTCGACAAGGGACTGAAAAACCAATTCCTCGAGGGGAAATTCACGCGTTCTATTGCGAACACATTAGATGCAAATGTGTCTTTTTTATTTGTATAAACGCAATCTTTGTTCGATAACACGTGACCAGTTAATCAATCCGTTTGTTAACACAATGACGACCTATGACGCCACAGTGGCGACATGTGCGTGCCAACTCATTGTTAATGACTAGTGACGCGTCACTGACGTCGCGTGTGTCTACTGGTAGCATTCAGATATTCCAGGTTATTGAGTTTTTTTTACATATGTACACTACCGTCCATAAGTGTCTCAACACAATACATTGTCGATATTAGAATGTTACGATATATTTTTCGATAAATGAGGCTATCATTTCTACTGCTATTTGCCGAATTAAATAGTTTCCTTTGGCAAATTTTACAATCGTACCATGTTCTCTTATTCTTAATTTTTCTGTAGAACTCGAGTTTACAATCTCTTGCGTCGTTGAACGTAAATAAATTGCGATGTAGACTACTGGCCAAAAGTATTGGACCAACTCTGATAAACAAAGAGGAAAATGTTATTTTACAAAGATTTTATATAAGTAGAGTGCTAGAATTGATTCGAAGTGATTTGCATGTGTTCTGATTCCGTAACTTTTATTATATCGTAATAGAATAATGAGTTACTGCTCCATTAATCATGAACTATGGC